TCCTGTGGACATGATCAATTTCCGCCCTCCCTAGGGGACTGCTGTCATCAGTCTGCACAAATGTGGTCACTCTGCCATTTAGACGACCCGAGTCCTCCCCGATCCCGCCTCCAGCTTTTCTCCACGTCATCAGCTTCTCTGCTCCTCTCTGTGTAAACACTAAACAAGCGCACACACGCGCGGTCCCGGTCTCTCTTCTCACATCCTTTGTGGAACTGACTCCAACCGGCCTTTTGTCCGCACCGGAAGCGTTCTTGCTTCCCCAGGCCTGACCCGGGACCAAGTGCCATGGGAGTCCTCTGAGAAACGCTCCTCCAGACCTCCGTCAGGCAGCCCGGCACCTCCGCTCTGCCAGAGCTAACGCTGATGCTCAGGCCTCATCCTTGTTGGATTCAGCAAGTCACTCCCTCTTTGACATACTGATACTGTATTCACATGGCCTTGGGGACGCCACTCTCTCTCCGTCCTTCTGGATCTCTGGCTTCTCTTTCATGGTCTTTGTTGGTCCTTCCTCCTCTCTGCAACCTCTCAGCACCGGAGGGCCCCAAGGCTCCGGCTTTGGCCTCCCCTCTGTCCAGAGGGCCTCGGCTGGCCTCCACAGCTTGACATCTCCTCTGGTCCAGACGCTCCCCTGAATTTGACGCCTGGGTCTCTCTGTGTTCCGGGGTGCACCACATGGAGAAACCCCTCAACCTGCACACGCTGCTCCCTCCCCATCTCCCGCCTTCCACCCCTCCATCCTTCCCTAAACTGTGGGGCCTGACTCCTCTCTCTCTCCACCTTAATTCTACTGTCAGCTGACCTGCCAGCACTGCCCTCCAGGTGCATCCAGAATCTATCCCCCAGGCCACTGTCCCGTCTCCCTGCTTCTCCCCTCACTCCCAATAATCTCCTCCCCACGGGGCAGACAGCTGATCTCAAAAAACCTATGTCTGGTCACGTCCACGCTATGTCCAAAGCCTTCCCATTTTAGCACAAAACACAAAGTCTTACTGAGGCCAGCAGGGGCCCCTGGGACCCAGCTCCCGTCCCCTCTGCCTCCAGGTCCTCTGTCCCTGGCTGCTCTGTGGACAGCCCCCACCCATCTCTGTTCCCTCTGCGGAAACACTTTCCCCTCCGCTCCCCCCAGCTCCCGAGGGCTTGTCTCTCAGGTCCCTCCCAAATGTCCCTCAACTGGACTGGTTCACAGCCCAGTCCCCTCCACCCACACACCTGCATCCTGCTTTGTTTTACCCCAGGGCACCACTTGGCACATGAAATGTCCCTTTGTTCATAGTTCACCTCCTTCACCAGAACCCAAGCTCCACAGGGATGAATCCCGGGAGCTTCCAGCAACCCGGCAGGGCACGCACCCATGAATATGCGCCAGTGAATGAAGGGTGCTTTTCTTTGGAGTCAAAGTCATTTCTTTGACTCCAGGAGGGGATAGGTAAAAAGAAAACCAGAGAACTCACACCTTGTCGCTCTTTGGGTCCCAAGGTCTCTAGCTGCTCTGCCTTCTTCATTTTGCGTTTCAGAGTCTCATGTTTGTTTTATGTATAATGTGCAGTGTTTTTAGTTGTACTTAGTGGGAGGAATAGGGAAAAGGATGTCCACTTCATATTCCTGGATGTAGAACCCTGCCTGAGGTCTTTTTTAACATACAGGTTCCCTCACCATCTTTTATTTTTTTTTGAAATTTATTTATTGAAGAAACCAGGATGTTTATCCCATGGAGCCTTCCACAGAATGGATTTCAGGGATTGGATTCCCTGTGGTGTCATTTAATGTGTTCCTCTGTTCCCTGTGCCCAGGGAATTGGGAGGTGGCGTTAGAGGCTTGATCATACTCAGATGCAAGTTTTTGGCAGGACTACTTCACAGGTGGTGCTGTGAACTCTGTCAGGAGACACAATGATTCTTTGTTTTTCTTGGTATTAATTATATCAACTCCTTCAATAGCTACTAATCAGTTTTCTTCTTTTCTAGTACCACTATGAACTCATGGATTTAATGATATACTTTCAATCCATTGCTATTACTATTCTTACTGATGCTCACCCCATGTCTAGTTAGCAGGGGCTTCTTTAAATGCTCCTGCCATGAGACAAGCTGTCCCCCACACCCCAAGCCTGGTATGAAAAGATGCTCACAGACTGGTCTTAGATAAATTCTGCCCTGAATCTACAATCAGCCCTTCTCCAAAGAGCCCTGGTTCACATTTTGGCCCTAGGGTTGGTTACCGTTTCTAGGCCTTTCCAGTGAACAAGTTGGGAAGTAAATGTGTTTAATGTATCACCAGTCCAAACTGGTAGTTCCATATCAAATTCAGAACTAAAGGGTTTTAATTTAACCCCTTTGATCTTATAAAATGCATCTTTTCTTCTTCCATGTTAAAAACCTGGTTGCCAACAATATCAACACAAATACTCATTTACAGTCTCTGTCAATAAATATACAACCATCTCAGAATAACTGTACACTCTCACAAAAACAATACAGACTTCCACAAACAAAACTATTACTCTTACTAAAAACTGTTTTTATTAATCATTTATTGCCACTCTTTTTTCTCCTTACGACATATCCTAACAATGCACGATGAAAGTCTTGTATTTTAAAGTTGTTTGGAATAATTCCTTTATTTATGCTACCAACTTGATATATGGCTAGGCTCATTTATTTTTGCTTTCAATTTTTAGGAATTAACAAATATATTTTAATAATTATGTAAATATTCCCACGATTCCAAAGCCAACTATATAATGCAAATGATCCTGGACAAGTTTATCATCCAGTTCTGTCCTCTGTGTCACGCCCCCTCCCTACTATAGGTAACAACTGTAAAAAAGTGTTTTTTGCCTGTGGTTAGCAACATGGTATTGCACACTTGAAATTTTGTTAAGAAGATAGATCTTAAGTTCTTACCACACACACATACAAGGAAAAAAAGTAAAAGGGAAAAAGGGCACAAGGAAACCAGTTTTTGAAGGTGATGGATATGTTTACTGCTTTGATTGTGGCAATGCTATCACTGGTGTATGCATATGTCCAACCTCATAAATTGTACACATTAAACAGAAGGGTTTTTTTGTGTATATAAACTGTGCCTCAATGAAGCTGTTAAAATTTTCTTTTATAACCTGGAGATCACTCTTTAGTAGTATACAGAGATATTCTTAATTCCTTTTCACAGCTACACAGTATTCCACTGTGTGGATGTATCACAGTGTATACAAACAATTCCCTATTGATGGAAATCAAATTGTTTCTAGAGTTTCTACACTGAGAAACTTGGTCATGTGATTAAACAATTCCCTAGGGATATTTTCCTCATTCATGCGACCCTTTAATTTTGTGCACCTGCTCTCAGCAGCTGTCTTCCACGTGAGGGCTGGCTCTACTTAAGTATACTACCTAGAGCTAATTCATTCCTAGGTAGCCAATACCCCTGACAAGGTGTTAACTAGAGTTTTAATTCCAATGTTACCTCAAAAACAATGTCCCTTGGTGGGTGGTTGGGTAGGGAGAGGGAGTTATTGTTTCATAGGTACAGAGTTTAAGTTTGGGAAGGTGAAAAAGTTCCAGAGGTGGATGGTGGTGATGGTTGTACAATGTGAAGTACCTAAAGCCACTGAATTATACATTTAAAATGGTTAAAATGGCAAACTTTATGCTATGTATATTGTACCTCAATTTAAAAGAAAAAGAATGAGTAGGATCTATGGGAAAAACCTTAAAATTTACTAAAAAAATAGCAATACAAAATTTTCCCAAGACACTGAAATGTTAAAGTGTAACTTCATACAGAAATTAAAATTTTGTACATGAACTAAATGAGGTTTTTAATTGATACAAATGTGTTTCTCTGTGGGGTCCACAGTAGACGTCCCAACTTGGAGAGGGTTCCTTTCTCCACTGTTTGTGATAAATGAGGGCTGGTCACCTTCTGAACAACCTTATCTGACATGGACTCCTTCTAGACTTTTATTTATCTTACTACATGGTGGCTTGAATTTTATGGCTTCTAAATGAGGCATTTATGACTAGAAAGTCCAGCTCAGCGACAGACTCTTCTGACCACCCTGATGACGTTAGAGTTGAAGTATTAATACATTACCCTGGGCTGGGACATCAGAGACCCAGAGCAAACCTGTGTGCAGACTTCCCTCAAGCCCTAGGATGGCCCAGGGAGTGGGCTGTAGACTCCGGTGAGTAGCTACCATGCTTCACCACCTCTTCTTTAAGACCTCTTCTCCTTACCAGTGATAAGCAGAGAATGTTTCAGACACCACAAGAGCCTTGGCTACTCCGAGCTCAAGGAGTACACGGCATCATAAGTTTTCTTTAGTTGGTCATGTAAAATGCCAGCCTTTACAGCCCTTCAAGTAGAACCACCAGCTGTGTTATTTCTCATGGTAAGTTTCCTCTTCTTCTGTCACAGGAACTACATGGGGCTGAATGACAATGAACTGACCTATCTGCTGGGGCCACTGGGCACACCAGAAGCAGGACCAGCACCTGTAACCTGAGCCACCAGTGTGGCCCAGTTCAGGGTTTGTGGCAATATGGGGCTGAGGGGGCGTGTGCACACGTGGCCGCCCATGCATTGCTGGGATGAATGACTACTTTCTCCTGCTAGGGGGCCCCTTGTCTGGAGAAGCCAGAGGCAATACGATGTCTGTGTACTTGGCATTGACTGGTAGAATTCCGAGCCAGATAAGGCACAACAAAGCACTCATCCCATTCTCTGCAAGGACTGACTCCTAGACCCGCCTTTTAAAATCTATATCATGGAACTTCCACAAAAGCAGAGAAATGGGTTTTATGATTCACCATGCACCCAAACTCAGCTTCAACAATTACCAGTGTTTTGTCAGTCTTGTTTTATCTACCTACCCTCTTTTTTTCCCGTCAAGTATTTTCAAGAAAATTTCAGATACCATGTGATTTCACTCCAAAGATCCCAGCATCCTGCTGCTCTTATCACTGCAAAAGAATAATGGCCAGTCTCTACTCCCAGAAGGTCAGCAAGGTTATTTTAATACAGATGTGATACAGAATGTTTAATTACAGCAGGGCAGTGATCCCAGTTAAATAAAATTAAAAACCTTTATTTTCCCAAATATAAAATTACTAAATTAATGTTTTCAAAGAAAATATAACATGGTGAAAGCTTTAAATTATACCACCATTCACCACAGGATTTATGATTTACCAATTACATACTCCACCAATTTGGCAAAAGGACGAAATTTTTAAACAGTTTATAAACCTAATATAGCAAAGACTGTATACATCTCCATATTGCACTTTTTTATGTACAAGAATAAAACAGTAAAGTGTATTGCATATACTAAGAACAACACAAATTTGTCACAAACTTAACACAGGGTGATGTGAGTATTAAAAATGTAGAAATGTAATAATACATGTATGTACAGAATGCCAAGACTGTATTAACAAACTATATGTACATAACAATATACTGTACTACTTTTAACTTTTTAGCATAGTTGTGTTTATTAATACAGGCCTTTGGTGCTAAACAGCTTGACTAGTTTTAAGCTCACATAGTTTCTTAAGCGTTCATGTTTTTTAAATGCAAGGAAATGAGTATAAAAGCACTAAATCTCCTGGTTCACTGGTACAAAAATTACAATGGTCAGTTCCCTTAGGTCATCAAAAACTAGTCACAAAAATAGTTCTTGTATTCAACCTGAATGTGCCACAGGAAAAAAAAAATATTTTCAAGATTTTCCAGCTCAGCCTAGAGGCAAATGTGGCCTCTCAGGCCTCAATTTCAGTGCTGCTGTCCCTGCTATGTACATTCCAGAACACTTTTTCTTTAGGCCATTTATTTTAATACTACTCTGTAAGGAAGAATAAAATTTAATTCCAGCTTAAGAGTGTCTACCACACACCTCTGTTAAGACACAATGAAAAGTTTGAATATTGCCAGTTAGGTTTAAAAAAATATGTGCACCTTCTTACGACTCCCATAGAAAAATCTGCTAAGAAAAAACACAGTTCTCTCTCTCCTTTCTCTCTTATTCCTCTTGGCTTCTCCCTGTGCTCGGTCTCCCCAGTGATTAGCTTTGGAAATCATCCTGAGTTTGCAAACAAGAAAGCGAGTCCCCCGTGTGTTCCATGAGGCGAGGTCACACCACCGAGGATGAGCTGGTCATTCCGTGAACCATTGTGCTTGTTGGGGTCCCGCTGATGGCATTGAAGATGTGAAGGGAGTTTGGTAAAACGCTCGCCTTCTCCTCCAGGGGGCAGATCTTGAGGCACAGAAACACAACATTACCAAAGCGTAAGGCCCCAGGCAGACGTTTCACAAAGCGGTGTGTTTCTTGTCACACACCAATTGTCATCCGACAGTCACTGCTTTACTGTGAGTAATGGTACGCCCTGACAGCTTGGCTTTGGCGGTGGACAGAGGGAGGCTTTTGGCTTATCTAGTAAATGACCATTTTCAGATCAGGATTGTAAGGAGAAAGTTGAGAACTGCATGTTTTGTTTCCTCTACAAGTTAGCAAATGGCGAGCCTTCTAGACTCACCCAGATCCCAGGCAACTTGAGGTCTATCTTACACATGTTTGACTGCAACACAGCCTAGACTTGTCCCTTGAAAAGCCTTTTAAAATGAATCTGGAGCACCCTTATTTCTCTCCTGGCTCCTTTTCTCAGGGTCTTACAGATTTCATCTTGGGAAGGAGAGGGCAGCTACCCTTCTGACCCTCAACAAGCATCTTTCCACCCCACTTGTGCCTGGAGGGATCTGAGTGTGGTCTTCACCTCCAGCCAGGTGGACACTGAGAACACACTCGCAGAGGCCCCTGGGAACCCCAGACCCAAGCCTATCCCCGTCACAACCCTTTTTGTTTACGGGTTCAGGGGGCTTAATCTTCACAGTTGTTGACATAATGGAAGTTCAAGGTACAGTGGAGAGCAAAGCACTGCATCAAACATCCGCACGATCTGGGAGCCTAATAGTTTCACTCCACTATTTCTTCCTACTTTCATCTTTTCTAGTGCCGAATGCTGGCACCTGCTAATCATGCTCTCTGTTCTACAGGAATGTAGAGGCTCCACGGAAAAGATCCCAATTTTTCTCCAAAAATTTGTTCCCATGAGACCCTCCCTTTCTGCTTAATTATTCACATGCCCATTTCTTTAATCATTTCAATTTTTTATACTTTTTAAAATGTCCACAAGAGGTTGCTTTCCTCTGCACTGTCATTATGCCAATTTCTGCAGGTGTTCAAACTCAGTTATGTGAGTTAGTTTATCAGAAAAATAAAATTAAAAAATGACATTACCATCCCATCTGAATGTGTTAGCATGGAAGGGAAAAAAAAGCAAGTGCATTAAAGCTCACATATTGAAGTTCGTTTCCTGCAATGGATATGTCCTAACTAAATCATCACATGACAGGACAATTAACACAAACAGCCCTGTTTCCACTTTGCAAGATAGAAAGGCAATAATGTAGGGAACAGACAAAACCAGTTACATGTTGTCAAGGTGCTAACATTAACCATAAAGACTAGGACAGTGACTCAGACGAAGTTCCTGTGGTTGGTGGAGAAGGGACTCCTCACAAAACAATAATGTACACGTTGCTCCACTTGGTACCCTGGTCACCTGTCTCCTCTTATGACTACTGAGCCCACGTACAGAACCCTAGTGAAGAAATTCATACAGGAGGGAGGGAAGATGCCCGTAATGACAAGAAACAAAAGACACAGCCACGAAGATTCCCCTGGGGCTCCCAGGTCAGCTGTAAACAGCCCAAAGTGGAATAGCCCTATAGTTTTAAATGGCAAAAGACATTTAATGCAACAGATAATTCCTGAAACCAGGTTGGTAAGCCCTGTTCTTTCAAAGAATTGAATGAATAAAGAAAGTTGTAAGAGCAGTATGGATATTTGTGTGAGTTGTTTTTTTTTTTCCGGCTAGATCGGGTGGGAAGAGACCAAGCTTATGGAAGGTGGCCACCTCTAAGAGCAATGACGCGGCGGGTGCTGCTCTCCCTGGGTTGCTCTAGGTAACGACACACAGGCAATCTGTTAGCTGTTCTCCAGATAACCTGGGGCTAGAGAGTAGCAGGAACGTGGTAGACTACATTTTTCTTCAGGGATCAAAATTCTGGAAGGATAGCAGAAGGCTTAGGTCATCACAGGGTGTGTACCTGAGACCCCAACTAATCTTCATTCCCTAAACAAGAACTCCAAGGTGTGAGAGCCAGGTGGCACTTACCTGCTCGTGCATGATTTCAGAAAGCTCTTTTGCCATTTCCCTGTAGTTGGCTTTCATTTCTTCCTGATACTCTAACTGGTCTTCTTTAATTAGACGTTCATTTACCGCTAAGGCCTGGCCGCAAGCTTCCACAAATTGCCTAGAATGGTGCAGGAGGGGAAATAAAGGCACATGGAGGACAAAGAATGAGTCCAACTGGTGTTATCTCTTTTCGGAGCGAGCACAGAAATTATCAATACATGAAGAGAAAAAGACATTTCACTGTGCCTTACCTGAAAACTTCCTTAAGCAACTTCACTTTATTGTCAGGATATCTTTTTGTGTTTGTGTCATCTAAGAAAGCTCGGGCATAGGCTAGTGGACCAGCATTGACCTAGGTAAAGAGCGAAGATTTGAAATTATAACAGGAAGAAAATTACCATCACCATTTCTTTAGTTTCACTTGCCATGCGCTAAAAACGCCATCAAAGTGAGTTAGTCATGACCCAGCCTTCCAGGAACTTACAACCCAAAAGTAACCATAAAGCACACACTGTTAGGTGTCTGTTGAGTCTATCACCTCAGCCACCCTCAGGGCACTGTGAATGTAAGCAGAAACCAATGCTTGGAAAACTTAGGAGCCGGTTCAAGTTTGAACAGCCAATAAGCAAAACACCAGAGATCCCAGCCACCTCTTCCAAATCCACGTCAAGGATTCTTACCACCAAGGTATGTGGCCACTTGAATTTGTTCTACACTACAATGAACAAGTCCGTCTGGTGAATATAAAAGGTAGTATCTATGCCAGTTTTTAAAAACCAGCTGTTCAGTTCACTGAATTGTGTAGCTAGCCAGGGGTGAACTGATTTGTCATCCTCAGATGAAGTAACACTTGCAGGTGTGCTGAGAGCCAGAGATTAGGAGCATTTAGCAATGTGGAGAGCAAACCAGAACCCTGCATCGCTCTCTCAATTAGCTAAGAAGAGTCCTTTGAAGTTGGGTAAGTCAGGACACAGAGGAACACAGGGAGAAAGGACGGTGGACACACTGGGTGGGAAGGAGGATTTCTGGGCATCTGAGACAGCTTGGGAAAGGACTCAACCATGTGATCACTGCAAAATTTTTCCTGGAAAGTCTGATGGCTTGGAATGCAGGGGATTTGGGAGAGCAGTCTATCTGTGGTTCTGATCTATGGTGTGCAGGATTTGTACAGCACGGCAGGAGCACTGAGCCACGGAAACTTTCACCATGAGATGTGGGAGCTGGGGGGCATCAGCCCCAGCACTGAGGCATGCTTGTCCCTGGAGGGAGATGATTTAACATTTACCAATTACTCAGGGAACCGTACAAGATAACTTTCTAAAAACCTCTTGGCTGGGTGTGGTGGCTCATGCCTGTAATCCTAGCACTCTGGGAGGCCGAGGTGGGAGGATGGCTTGAGGTCAGGAGTTCAACAACAGCCTCAGCAATGGTGAGATCCCATGTCTACTAAAAATAGAAAGAAATTACTCAGGCAACTAAAATTAGAAAAAATTAGCCAAGTGTGTAGTCCCAGCTACTCGGGAGGCTGAGGCAAGAGGATTGCTTGAGCCCAGGAGTTTAAGGTTGCTATGAGCTAGGCTGATGCCACAGCACTCTATCCCAGGCAACAGAGTGAGACTCTATCTTAAAACAAACAAACAAACAAACAAACAAACAAACAAACAAACAAACAAACAAACAAAATCCCTTCTGTTAAGGTAATGTACAAACAGAAAAGTACATATACAACAGGTATATAGCTTAATGAATTTTCACAAACTGAACATATATGTTAATCAGTATCTAGATCAAAGATGATCTTTTCCGTAACTGGTGCACATCACTTGGATGGCCATGTGGAAAAACCATACCTTGAACCTTACCCTATACCACACACAAAAATCACTTCCAGATGGATCACAGATCTAAATGTGAGTGCTGAACAAAGGAGGAAAACACAGGAGAACATCTTTGGAATCTTGGAGTAGACACAGATTTCTTAAAGAGAGCATAAAAATGCTACCAGTTCAGAAGAAAATTGGTTTCTTGGGCTATATTAAAATAAAGAATTTCTGTTCAAAAGAAATCAAGAGAGTGAAACTTAAGATACTTTTTCGGATAAAATTTTCAGAAAACAGAAAACGATTTTATAAGAAAACCTACTGTTTTCTGCACTTTATATTTAAAAGAGTCTTGATGTTTACATTTAGAGCTCCCCAAATTGCTGAAAAATCATAGTAGTACAGAGAACTATCTCTTCTCTCTCACTGACAGCTTAGTGAGAATGACAGACCTCATGGCAGGGCAGGGTAGGGACCCTAAGGCCACCTCTCCCTCTGATATCAGGAGAAACTGCACAGACGAGGCAGTCCCTGGTAAGCCAGGGACCTGAAGTGGACCTTGCTGGTATGGATAACCTGAAATTTGCCAAGGTGCCAGGGGGCTTTCCCTCTGCTGCCCTCAGGCCTGCCCTCCTGGCTGCTCACCTGAACGCTCACGCTGCCCTGGAGTTTGAGCTGCAGCTTGATCATGTCCACCTCAGCCGAGGAGCACAGCTGCCGGAGCTCCGCCACCTTCTTACTCATCTCGTCAATGGCCACTTCGATGGGGTTCAGGTCGGTGTGATGTTGGTACATGATGGGGATCCGCTTCTTCACGTAAGGGAAGCAGTGTATTGCTGCAGAGAATGAGCCCCAGATTACTTCACCGCTTGCACGACCTTTACTGCTATTGAGGTAGGAGTAATAATTATTTCCACTTTACAATAAGAAACCCAAAGCTAGCTTGCCAAAGTCACATGCTAGCACTTTGTGGAACCAGAATACTGTCTTCCTTTATCATCATGTAACTGTTTAATGACAGGCTGTATTGTATAAAGTCAAGAGATTTGAGACCTTCTTATCCCTTTAATGTGACAAGTGTGTCTTTGAAGAAACCATTTTATCATTCCTTGCTCAATTTTCTCATCCATAAATGCCCTTGGAAGTTCTAAGATCTGAATGAAATTAATAGGTAAAAGATGACTGTGACAACATAAAAAAGACTCAACAGTTTTGAGATACTATGTAACACATTAAGTAAAGAAGATAGTTCTATAAAAATATCCTTGAGAAAATTCATTTTTGTCCACAGAACAACTTTGAGCCACCTGCTAAATTTGCACAAATCTGAGAAATCAATGAAAAATGACAAATGAGAATATATTCCCAAACAAAGCACTTCATGAACCAGAAATTCAGAAACTTTTAGAGTTGTACTAATAAAGGTATTTTAAAACTTACAGCAATGGATAAGAAATATTAATAAAAATATTTACTTTTTCTTACACATTTTTAACCAAGAAAAGCCAATTAATATTGTTTTTATTTATCATAATGAGATACCCAAATATATAAATACCAAAGAGTTAGTTTAAAAACAAACAGAAAAACAGAAGGTCTTAATTTGGGTCTGTTTCACATTTCTATCTTGTTGCTTTATGTGGTATATAAATATCTATGAATATCTATAATAGTCTCATTTAATATATATTTACTAACAGACATTTAGGTAAGTACTTAGAGCTTATTTTATATTTTTATAAGCAAAAGTCAGATGGGAGTGGTCATGTCTGGATTCACTACGATTCCATCAGTGGCCAGGGAGAGTTTACTCAGGAAGGGCTTGCCACGGAATGGGAAAGAGGGTAAAACTCACAGTTCCAAGGGGCCAACCAGTATCTGGACAAAGCTCAGAAAAATGTCCTCCCCGAGGCAACCTCCTCTGTCACATACGTATGTGCCTGTTCTATTCTCAAATGTTTTGCCAGTGGAAGGTCAGGATTTCACAGGGTTTCACACAGGTTTTAAATGGCAGCGCTGGGATCCACGGACCCACTTTGAAAGAGGTTGCTCTGACAGTTAATGACAACTAGGCCTTGCTGTTCCCCAGCCAGGGGGCGGGCGGGGGGGTGGCCCCTGGACAGAAGGGCATGTGTTTGCATAGACCTGTGTGCTTTACCGAGAAATGGGACCACCCTCCTGTTTGTAAGGAAGGAGCACCTGTGGAAACGTTGCGTGAGGCCAGCAGTCATGTCATAGGCTTCCCGAGTGCCATGCTATGGTAGCGCCATTAGTTCAGAGAGAAAAACCAGCTCCAAGGCTAACGTTTGAGAGGTGTCCAGGGTTCACACTGACTTCATTTGGTACAGAAGTGTGGAGCCACTGCCGCTTGTGATGGTAGCTGGAGCTGGCCATAGGTGGCGTGAGGTGCAGTGACACCATGCAGAGAAAACCTGTGGTCCATGTTGACCCTACAAGGCCCATGTGATCTGGGACCCCTGGCAGCTGTCCCCATCCCCCCTTGCTGTCCTCACATGCACTCTTCTCCCATGAGCTCCCTGGGCTGCAGCCCTGCCAGCCTCCTCCTCTTGGTTCCCTGAGACCTGGGCACAGGGCCCCATGGTTGGCTTTTGCCCTGACGTCTTCTCCCTCGACGTTCCATGGCCCACTTCTCACCTCCTGCAGGTCTTACACAAATGTTACCTCTTCAATGAGGCCTACCCCGTCCACCCCTTTTAAACTGCAACCCTCCCCTCAACCTCATGCTCCTGATCTCCTTTTGCCTTTGTCCAGAACACAGATTACATTCCAACATGGGTCCGTTTACTCATCCGTTCATTGCCTGTCTTCTACTGTCTGTCTCCTCTGGCTGGACTGCCAGCTGCACAGGGCCACAGACATCTGTTTCGTTAGTGTGCCTGGTGGGAACACTGCCAGCATGCAACACATCTTGTGGAATGAATGAATGCATTGCAGCACAAATGTCTACATGAGAGCGCAAGATGGCCCTGGAAGGTGGACAGTTAGGTGACTGGCTGAGCAAGCCACTGGGGAAGACCCAGCTGACGAGCGTGGTGGCCGTGTGCTCTGCCTGGCTTGAATAGAAGGTGGAGGGCAGGAGGCTGTTTCCAACCTGAGTGGGAGTCTGGGCATGATTTGGAAGACTTTGGAACGGTGAGTGGGAAGAAACTCCTTGGCAGAAGTTCTGTGAAAGAAGGAGAGAGGGTCACGTTTCATGTTTCAGGACAGGTTCAGAAATTGCCACTGAGGAGGGCAGAGGGTGATCACAAGGGCTCTCAAATGAGCACTGGGAACAACCCAGGAAGGTGACACTGCACTGGTTCAGGGGTCAGGGAAGGCCAGGGCTACCTATAACTTGGAAGACCAAAGGTTAGATTTGAAGCAACGCAATGGAAGAAGAACCCAAGGGATTAATAACTTAAGGGAAAAGTCTTAAGTTCAAAGTCTTCAGAATGCCCTAGTGTGCATACCTAAAGGTTGATACAGAATTTGCATGTTTTTAGTGCCATTTTTTGTTTTTTTTTAAGAGACAGGGTCTTGCTCTGTCACCCAGACTGGAGTGACATAATCGTAGCTCACTGCAGCCTTGACCTCCAGGGCTCAAGTGATCTTCCTGCCTCAGACTTCCAAGTGGCTGGGACTACAGGCATGCACCACCACATCCAGCAAATTTTTTAATTTTTTAAATTTTATGTAGAGATAGGGACTTCCTAAGTTTACTCGGCTTGGTCATGAACTCCTAGCCTCAAGCGATCCGCCCACCTAAGCCTCCCAAAGTGCTAGGATTACAGGTGTGACCCACTGCACCTGGTCTTTAGTGGCATTTTTATAACTTTTTCTCTAAATCTTTATGCTGCCCCATAAGTATTAATATCATTTTAATATTCTGAGATCTTTCAGGGCAAAAATTACACCTTTATGTGTGTGCTTTGTTGGACTATAATCCTCCTTTGCTCATCCCTAACCCCAAGGAGTTCAACAGTGGATGAGATCTAGCAAAATCAAGTGCATTCTTTCCCCTCCTGGCTACAACTTACAAAGTATTTAACACAATGAGATGCATGTTCTAACTCATTTTACAGATGAGGAAACTAAAGCACAGAGAGGGTGAGCTACCTGCTCAAGGTCACACAGTGAGGCTGTAACCCAGGTCTGCAGGACATCCAGGCCAGACTCTCCACCGCCCAGGTTTTCTCAGCCCCACAGCTGTGGACGGTGGCTACTCCCTGGGCCACCAGCATGTGTGTCTACTCTGTAGTGCAGTCACTCTGTGTCTCCTCCGTCCTGACAGATACAGAGCTTTGCTTACATGCCACATGCTCTATCTAATCTCAAGTAGCTATGTACGAAATGGTAATCTGTACCCGTGAAGGAAATGTGTGGCGGGGAAACGCCCTCTGGTAACTGTTTATGAATCAGTGTGCTACCTTCACAATAATCATGATATGTCCTGGCCTTGACTCAGCAGTGAACCAGGTTTATTTAAAGCAGCAGTTCTCAAATTTGAGTGTGCATCAGGTCCCCTAGAGGGCTTGTTGAACACGAAGAGCCCAGCCCCACTCCCACAGTTTCTGATTCAGCAGGTCCGGGGTTGGGCCCAAGAATGTGCACTTCTAACAAGTTCCCAGGGGATGCTGATGCTGCTGGTGCTGGAGTAACCTTTGATAACCACTGATTTAAAGAATCAAAAGTACAGTCATCAGAACTATACCAATAAACACCGTGAGCTAGTAATTCCTGTAAAACGATTCCATCTAGAAATGTAGTTATCTTGCTTAATCGGAATTAGCTACTGATATGTACATTAGAAAAATAAACCATTTATTGATGGGGTAGGAGCTAACATCTGTGAGGAAAAAATTGTCTGTGCTTCACATACATTACCTTGTCACTCTAAAAACAGGAGTAAGATACTTTAAGAATATAGGTTTTGCCATCCTCATATAGCCAACGAATCTTTGACAAAGCAGACAAAAACATACACTGGAGAAAAGAATCCTTATTCAATAAATGGTGCTGGGAAAACTGGATAGCCACATGCAGAAGACTGAAACAAGACCCACACCTTTCACCTCTCACAAAAATCAACTCACGCTGGGTAATAGACTTGAACCTTAGGTATGAAACTATTAGAATTCTAGAGGAAAACATTGGAAATACTCTTCTAGACATTGGCCTAGGCAAAGAATTTATGAAGAAGACCCCAAAGGCAATCACAGCAGCAACAAAAATAAATAAATGGGACCTGATCAAATTAAAAAGCTTCTGCACAGCCAAAGAAACTGTCAAGAGAGCAAACAGACAACCCACAGAATGGGAGAAAATTTTCGCAAGCTACACATCCGATAAAGGGCTGATAACTAGAATCTATTTAGAACTCAGGAAAATCAGCAAGAAAAAAATCAAACAACCCTATCAAAAATGGGCAAACGACATGAACAGAAACTTCTCAAAAGAAGACAGAATAATGGCCAACAAACATGAAAAAATGCTCAACATCTCTAATCATCAGGGAAATGCAAATGAAAACCACAATGAGATATGGCCTTTTATCAAAAAGTCCCCAAACAATAAATGCTGGCATGGATGCAGAGAGATAGGAACACTCCTATACTGCTGGTGGGACTGCAAACTAGTTCAACCTCTGTGGAAAGCAATATGGAGATACCTTAAAGAGATACAAGTAAATCTACCATTGATCCAGCAATTCCACTACTGGGCATCTACCCAAAAGATCAAAAGTCACTTTACGAAAAAGACACCTGCACTCGAATGTGCTGCAATTGTGCAGCACAATTCACAATTGCAAAGTTGTGGAAACAACCCAAGTGCCCATCAATTCATAAGTGGATTAGTAAAATGTGGTATATGTATACCATGGAGTACTATTCGGCTTTAAGAAACAATGGTGATATAGCACCTCTTGTATTTTCCTGGATAGAGCTAGAACGCATTCTACTAAGTGAAGTATCTCAAGAATGGAAAAACAAGCACCACATGTACTCACCAGCAAACTGGTATTAACGGATCAACACCTCAGTGGACATATAGGAATAACACTTATTAGGTGTCGAGCAGGTGGGAGGGGGGAGGAGGGGATGGGTATATACAAACACAATGAGTGAGATGTGCAATATTTAGGGGATGGTCACACTTGAGGTGCTGACTCGAGGGGGGAGGGGGGAATGGGCAATATATGTAACCTTAACACTTGTACCCCCATAATACGCTAAAATAAAATAAAAAATAAAATGTTAAGGCAAGAATTAAAAAAAAAAGAATATAGGTTTTAAACTTTTATCTCATTTCCCTCATAGGAAGTGTAAAAATTCCCTGTAATATGCTGTTCTGAGCTAATTTATAATGACTTATATTCTTCTTTTGATAGCTTTACTGAGGTATAAAGCACACACCACACAATCCACCCATTTGCAGTATACATTTGCAGTATATTCCCTGGTGAGAGCTGAGAATCACTTGGATGCAGCATCTGACAGTACTCTTTCCATTTATGATGATAATGCATAATTATAATGCTCCACATTATTGCCCTGATGGAAACACAATGCTGACTTCTGGGGAAGCAGTGAGTGCTTTTCTGGTTCAATGTAACCAAGGGCAACTCTTTGGAAAACGTGCCTAAATGGTGGCTAATGACACATTAGGCATTCTGAACAGGCCTCCCACTGATTTTTTTTGGTCAAGAAATTGTTTTATTTTGGGTTATCCCAGTTATGCTGATGACCATAACATAATGAAGGGGTTAAACTCCCCTAAAGAAGGCAAAAATCACCCCCAAGATGACTCTACACTTGGCTAACTGGGAAAAGATACAAAGCATATTTCCAAGAATGGGTTATTGATGGTTAATCAGTGCCAAAGGGATCGATAAAAATTGCAACAGCAGAACAGTGATCTTCCTGGCAGTGCAGGTACTCAAACTGATGCTGGCTGGCCACCATCAGTGAACAGGTAGAAGAGATCCAGATTCACATCTCATTTATTCATTCAGCCTAAAATTGCTGAGCAAGTCCATGGGGGGCCTGTGTGGCAGAGGTGTGTGAGACAGGTCCCCTCCGTGCACAGCTGCTGGATCTGGGGCCACGACCTGCAGAGGGCTCCACCGGGTTTCAGAACGAGTCTGTAAGTCACCTGAAACTGTGTGCACAAGCACCTGGATAAGGGGCCACCATTTTCATCAGATTCTAAGAACAGTAAGTGATCTTACACTAGGTATTAATTTCTGGTCTGGTGGAAGAAGAAAGAGTAGACAGATAAAGAATGTCATGAGTATTCAAAAGTAAGCACTACATAAATGTGGAACTGACAAGGGTGTGGAGGAAGCTAGCAAAGCTTGAAAGGCCCTTGCAATTTCTGAAGCTTCTTGATCCCTCCCAGACAGCTTCATCCTGGTGTCATGCAACGTACCTGTCAGGATGGTGCGCCGTTTGCACTGCTCCTCCACCCCACCCTGCCTCTTCCCAGCCTGCGTAAACGGCATCTCAAACATGAAGCGGCGGATGTTGTGTGATCTTTCAAACTCTGTTTTCCTTTCTTGCAATTCTTTTTCATCAAAGAATGGGGTCACGTGAGTCACCTGGATATACGCATACTTGGAATCCAGGTCCTTAGGGTTGACCTTTAATTGAATGAAGAAAATGGAAGATTGGTGCTTTTGCAGGAATCTCTCAAACCTTGCCTAAGCTGTATTTCCCAACTTTTCATGAGTAAACATGTTGGGGAAAAAAGTAGCACAAACCCACCCACATACTCACCACTTGGACCAACAATCGCTAATGTTTTGCTATATTTGTTTCAAACATACACATACATACGTATGTGCACCCACACACACAGACTGTTTTTTAGCTGAACTACCTCAAAGTAAGTGGTATACATCATGACATTTCAGTTGGCTTCTCCTAAGGAGGAGGGCGTTCTCCCTTATAACCATAACACATTACCATACCTAATAAAGTTAACAATGAATCCCTAATATTATCCAATACCCAGACACAGTAACATTTTCTCAAATGCCTCCAGAATGTTATTTATAGCCATTTGTGTCTGAACCAAAATCTAATCCACAATCACACTTTATATTTAGTTGTTGTATCTCCCTCATCTTGTTTAATGTAGAAGAAATCCTCACTATTTTTTTTTTTCATGACATCAACTTTTCTGAAGACATTCTGCTGATTTTCTTGTTGAATGACCCTCAGTCTTAATTTTTCTGTTTCCTAAACTGCAATATATTTGGCTAGGAATTTGTTTTAGGAATAATGTTTGAAAGCTAGGCCTCTAAATTATCATTAATCTATAGACAGGTCAGATTAGATGCCAACAGCTTTAGACTAATTTAATACAGGTACAGATTAATCTAAGACAGAATGTAATGGTAAGTTTAGTTCCTACTTAACATATAAATGCTTCTAAAACCACATTGCTAGAATTGGCGGTGCTCTCATTTCTGTGACTTGATAGAAAATTAAATATAAGCATTTTCTATAAAGACACAAAAGCTTATTAGGGAGACAAACCAATTTTGCACATTTTAATTGGATTTACCCTTCTAGAGTAATTAAAAGGGACACAGAAACAATGACTGTGCAGAGAATGTGGTGACCACACAGGCAATGAACGAGAACAGGATGGTCTTGGAACAGAGATGTCTATAAAGAAAAATGAAAAATGGATGCAAAACTGCCACTTTGGAAGTTAAGAAAATACATAAAGTCATAGAAAGTTATTTTATGTTTTAGAAAATGCCATCTGGCCATCCATTCTAATTGTATTTGAATCTATTAAATGTAACTTTCTTTAGCAGATATATTTTAAAGGCAGTGGGAAAGCCACCTTCTTGCCTACTTTCCAGTGGTGTTTCCCTACTCTTCACTCCCCAGGCTATGTGTTCAGAAGGGACAGAGGATTGGTGCTTGGTGGGGAAGGTGGTCCAGTAACTCTTTCAGCTGCTGTATCAAGGGCCACATATTAAAAGGGAAAGAAGACTGATTGAGAACTTGGAGGAAAGTCTGTAATGTTAAAGCCACCACTCGATTCGAAGGTTTCAGTTTCAGAGAAAAAGGCAAATGGGACCAGAGTAATTTAGCCTATAGAGTGAGGAGGCCTTCATAAAGTTGTGTTGACATTTCTGCTCATAAATGGACCAACAATGTGTTAATCCCTTTCCCTTTGTGCAGGTCTGTTAAAATGACAGTAAAGAATTAACCTGCACGTACCTAGGAAAGAGAACGAAGACAGCAGTGGCTGAGAGATTTCAATGAGCCTTTGGAGGAAGGTGTGTGGAGGCGCTACTTGACTTAGCAGAGTGGAGGAAGTTCTAATCCATGTTTCCACACAGGGGGACAACACACGTAAGGTGGCGTGCCACTCAGAAGCCTGCGAGGACTAGACTTGTTGCCAGTAGGATTAGGGAGACCAAGTGACGCATGGGATGGAAAACGGGGCAAGTGGCCCAAAGTCCCTATCTGGACTCAGGAACACCAAGTTCCCTTCCCTAGTCCCCACCTCACAAGAGGGCAGAGGCCATTCTCTGAAGAAACTGGTCTGGAAACCATAAGTGTGTCCATGAGTCTCAGCAGAAAGCAGGGCCAAGGTACAGAGTGAACAGAAGGCGGGTGAGAGGCTTACCCCTCCCCAGTTGCCCACCCACCTGGGCAGGAGAATGGAGGATTCTTTTCGGGAGAGAGTGAGAGGCCCCAAGGAAATGGATTTTAGACACTGAGGACCCAGAGGAGGACTCAGGAAAGAAAAGGGACCGAGGATCACCCCAAAATGGTGCCCTAAGGAAGAGGCAGAGCTCATCACTGGTGGAGTGCTGAGCACAAGGTTTTTCCTTTTGTTTTATTTTTTTATGTTTTATTTTTTTTTTGAGACAGAGTCTCGCTTTGTTGCCCAGGCTAGAGTTGAGTGCCGTGGCGTCAGCCTAGCTCACAGCAACCTCGAACTCCTGGGTTCAAGCAATCCTGCTGCCTCAGCCTCCCGAGTAGCTGGGACTACAGGCATGAGCCACCATACCTGGCTAATTTTATATATATATATATTAGTTAGCCAATTAATTTCTTTCTATTTATAGTAGAGACAGGGTCTCGCTCTAGCTGAAGCTGGTTTTGAACTCCTGACCTCGAGCAATCCGCCCGCCTCGGCCTCCCAGAGAGCTAGAGTGAGCCAGCTCGCCCAGCCTCCTTTTGTTTTAGAGATGGAGTCTCACTCTGATGCTCAAGCTGGAGGGCAGTGGTGCTATCAGAGATCACTGTAAGAGGACCATTTTTCATACAAAGAACAAAAGCTCTACCTCTGCCTGAGTTTCAGGAGGCAGAGGGATACCCAGCTTCCTGGAGAGTCCAGAAGAGGGTGGGACACATAAATGTACAGGAAAAACGTGTAGGTTCTGAAAGGGTCTTCATGAAAGCAGAACACAAGAGGACAGCCTCTCTACACACAAAGTCAAGCTCACTCCTACAATCATCCTAGCTGGTGACTCCATTCCTTGGTCTGTCCATCTGTCCATACATCCAACTGTCAGTGATGCAGACTGTCAGGTCACATCTAAGTGCAGGGGAAGTGCAGTGAGTCACAGAACTTTGGAACCTACTCCTTCAGACTTTTTAAATATCTGGACTAAAAATGACACATCCCTTCAGATATTAATTATTTTAAATTAATTTTTAAAAAGCATGCAATAAAGACTTGCCTAATGTGAAGCATGCAATGGAAAGCACAAAAAGGTATTAAGAAGAAAATAATACACCTCCTACTCAAGGCCAACCATCCTTAATTTTTTCCTGTTTTTTTCCTATACACATTTATAAATATATAACCTATCACATTTAATCAATCAAAACATTATATTGCTATGAAACTTATTCAAACACAGTCCTACCTTGCCAGAATCTTGTATCATTTTGACATTTTCAGAACCAAATTTATCTGAGTAAAGTTTAAGGAGTCTCTGAGAAATTTCTGACAGAGGTGTGAGTTTAGGTTCTTTGTAAATATACTCCTTTCCATCTTCATCTTCAAAGAATCCCTGTGACATAAAAGCACAATTAGAGTTCTCCCCAGCATAAGCCCAAGGCTTACCACCCAGGAAGGGTTCTTTTGTTACAAGGGGAAGAATAAAAAAAAAAAAAAAGAAAAGAAAAGAAAAAAGGAATGGTTCTAAAATAAAATCCTACTTAAACAGGCTTTCTGAATAAGAAGGAAAATGATAATAATGGGAAGTCTGGGTGCAAAGATAAAGGAAAAACACAAAATTGCACACTTATTCAAGAATGCTGTCATTAAGTGTTGAGTGAAATGAAAGATTTTGGATTCAAGACTGTGCTGTCGCAGTGAAGTCTAATGATGGAGTCAAGCCTGTTTCACGTTCCCAAGAAGCAGAACTCACTAAAAAATGATCAGTAGGCTCTGGCAGGCAGGCCTCAGAAATACACACACATCCTTTCTCCTGTCTGTTCCCATTTACATGGGATTTTACGGCATGAACTGATGCATTCAGGCCTGGAGCATGTTTAGTGCAAGTTATGTGAAGTTTACATAAATCCTATTTTGCTTTACTGATGAGGAAAAATATTAACTCCTGTAGCACAATATCAGAAAACACTTTCATCATTAGCAGTCATCATCTGTTTTAGCACCAATCATGTTTGACTACAAGGCTCAGAATTGCATGGGAAGTGAAAAAGGTTGAAAATCAAAGTCTAGGCTAGGGTTAATATTTAAAATAAATTTTGAAAAAGTTTCTCATCTAAAATAAAAGAGAGAAAATGGTACAAAAACCAGTATATATTAAAAAAAAATGCAGGCTAACACAAAACAAAAAACACCCACATCAAACTATGAGTTTAGATGCAGTAATTTCACTACATTACTTGCTTTTTAGACATTTACTGTAATTACCTCCACATCTGTTTCACTGTCTGTAAACTGGTATTGCTATAAAGTTATAAAAGACAATAACAGAATAAATTGAAGGTTATATAATGCTCACAGAAAACCACACACCCTAAATAAATGGATTATAACTTATACCATTTAATAATGTTAGAGATTTGAAGGTTAAAATTTAAATGAACCCTTCCATATAGGGTTTCCGAAATATTATAATAGTAAATATACTTGTGGAGATATTATATTACAAAAGCTAAAGATGCACAGGCACAAATGAAACCAGAAAGTCTTAATTGTGGTTTAAAACATGCAATGCAGATGTATAAGGAAACAGGTGATTTATTTCTGTAAATGGAATAAAATGTTAATTTTACTTTGGGGGGAAGTTTGTGATGACTAGACAGATATACATACAGACTTGATAAGGAAACTTGCAAACCACACTGAAGTACCAGAGATACCACTAAGAATGGCTTATGGAGGAAGAACTTACCGCTGCCTTAAGAAAGTAATAGAGAAAAGACAGGAAGAAAGAAAAAAAAGCAGAAAGTTTACTACTGAGGAAGAATCATACTAAATATGACAAATTCATCAAATTAGCATTTATAGAAAACAGAGAATTTACAAGATATAACTTCATAGCATTAAAAAAATAAAAGGACTTAGGACAACCTATGGAATGGGGAGAAGCTCACCTGTCCGAAGAAGGCTACCCTGAAGTAGGTCCCTAGGAGCCTGCGGCCTGAGTGCATGACCTCAGTCACTTTGCTGTAGGCTCGGTGCAGCGTGTCATACAGATGGGCCAGCCTCTGGAAAACAGAACAAAACCCATTTCGTTCCCACTTGCAAATAGCAGAATTTTAAATTCAATTTTAAAGGAACAATTTTATGTGATAGGCAGAGTGCGGTGGCTGACGCCTGTAATCCTAGCACTCTGGGAGGCCATGGTGGGCGGATCATTTGAGCTTGGAAGTTTGAGACCAGCCTGAGCAAGAGTGAGACCTTGTCTCTACTAAAAAATAGAATATATAGAAAAAAAATTAGCCAGGCATGGTGGCGCATGCCTGTAGTCCCAGCTACTCCGGAGACTGAGGCAGGAGGATTGCTTGAGCCCAGGAGTTTGAGGTTGCTGTGAGCGAGGCTGACACCATGGCACTCTAGTCTGGGCAACAGAGTGAGACTCTGTCTCAAAAAAAAATAAAATAAAGTAACAATTATATGTGATAAGAGAGGTGAAAATTCCTTGAACTTGAGTAAAAAAAATTAGAATATATTGTGACTGCACAACTTGTAGTGATCATTTATGAACGGCAATGTTTCCTACCCAGAGGGCCAACCTGCATATGAAGACCCATTAAGTTTCCATATTACAGTAACCAAATTCTGTTTTCAAGATACCATGAGATGTCAGAGATGGTTCTCTGAAGCCATTTTTATTAGTCTTTGCTTCTATTACCCTGTTTGATAGCTAAGAGACACTGGACAAACTCCCAAGCCCAGGAAGGATGTAAGTGACACCATTTTGCCCATGCAAGTGGAGCAGGAAGAGTTCTGAGGAAAAGGGCACCTGGTGATCCCAAAACTCTGTCATGGCAGACTTTCAAAATTGGAGTCTCAGTTTGACCCTTGTAGTTTGAGATGTGGGTGTCTGCCCAGAGGTGGGGCCCAGGTATATGTGATGTCTGACAACTCTTTGGAGGTGGTGACTGGTGACCCCTTTCAGCGTAACGTGGAGGGTCAGAGACCACAAGCTCATCACTGATCCGTGGCCTGCTGGCTCTCTTAGCATATAAGCAGGTCTGGTGATATGTCACACCATTGTGCTCTCAAATAGGAAAAACAAAAAGCTACTCTGATACCTCAAAATCCCTTCGCTTCTCATAAATGGGGATGATGAGTTTATAGATGTCAGCGATCAGCTCATAGCGCTCAGCTTTCCAGAGTCCATCTGCACACTGCTCGAGCAGCTCCATCAGCACGTCCTGGGCAAAAAGCAGGGCAGAGAAGAGCATTATGGGAACATGGTATGGTACTCCTTCCAGAATATGTAACTGCTAAGACTGCTAGGGGGAATATTCCTGCTAGGAGAAGGATGAAAGACTATCCTTCTCCACTGAACTGCCTTTGCACCAATCATATATGTGTGGGTCTTTTTGACTCTACGTTTTGTTCCACTGATACATGTCTGTCCTTGTGCCAATATCATAAGGATATTTTTGATGCTACTGTAAATAGTACTATTTTTAAATTTTGATGATCTTTTTTTTTCAAGGAAAGTACTTTGTTTGAATAAGATTAAATGTCATCTAGCACATCTGTTTCCAGGAATTATAAAAAATAATCATTAACTATATCATGAAATCATGGTATCCTAAATGAGAAGATTGATTTTTGTACACTAATCTGATCTTGCTAAACTGAATTTTCAGTTTTAGTAGGTTCTTTTGTAAATTCTTTGGTTTTTCCCTCTGGCACATAAGACAACAATACCTTGTGTGAATATAAAAAGGTTTATTTCTTTTTCTTGCCTTATTGCATTGGATAGAAGCCCCAGCATGATGTTGAATAGAGTGATGAAAGTGGATGTTCTTGTCCTGTTCCCAATTTTAGGGGGAAAGGATTCACTCTTTCACCATTAAATATGATGATAGCTGTAGTTTTTTTTGCTGATAGTCTTTTTTCTTTTCTTGAGGTTAAGGAAGTTTCTTTCTACTCAGTTTTTTTTTTAAATCATGAATGGTTTTGTTAAATGCTTTTTCTGCATCTTTTCCTATTTATTCTATTTATATAGTGAATTACTTTGGTTTTCAAATGTTGAATCCACCATGACAATAAACCTCCTGGAATAAACCCCACTTGGTCACTTCTCTTTTTTATATATTGCTAGATTCAATTTGCAAATATTTGGTTAAGGGTTTTATAGTTGCTTTTTAAACATGTTCATATCCTCCATAATACCATAAATGAAGGGCAAGCCCCGCATTTTTCATTACTGGCCTAATGTTTCATTACAGGCCTAAGTTTATAGATGCAAAGAAAATAAACACTTTTAAAGAAGTTGTAAATCAATTTATCAGAAAATACTATCTAAGCAAGACCATTTAACTCCTATGTCATATTTACAGCGTACAGATCATAAAACTGCCATTGGTATACCAGTGCTTATAAAAAGGTACACCAGTTTTTTCATGCTTTTATTGTAGGCCTCATTAAGTGCAAACACCAAAGCCAGACATGGGTAGTAATCACCATGATAGCCATACTCAAAGAAGAAATTACAAAAGGTTCTAACACCATCTCTTTTCTTTTACATGTGTATTACAAAGATGTAGCATCAAAGCTTAATTTGGTAAGATAAATTATTCAAACTAAGGTCAAGTCTATACCTAGACCTTTACAGCTGCACAACGTAACAGATCTTTGAATAGAAATAACCAGTAATCATAGACAGTTAAGTTTGAGAGACCACATGTCAACATAAAATTTTACAGTCATTAAACTAAGACACAGTAATTAAACATTGGCGCATATATAAATAACATTCTCAGCAAAATTCTACTTATTCATTTACTTCGAATTCTCAGCAATCACTGCATCTGAAAACCAAATGAATCCAGACATTGGCCAGACAGTGGTAACCTTGGAAGGCAGTCATATAGCATGCCTGATGGTTTTACTACCTTGTTTAAAATTTAAATGCCACGATATTTCTTTCTAAATTATTGACATAGTCAAAGAACCATAAGTAATAACTGGTAGGGGAAAAAAACCTCAATCAACTCTATGCATCCGGAAAGTATGCATTTTATGATATTTGACTAGACTTCAAAAGATCTCAGTACACCAAGTTCTTAAGCCATTGAGGAAGCTTTTTAAAATGTAATTAGCCAGGCCCATTTTAAAGTGTGCCACAATGATGCAATCAAAGGCACTAAGCGTCTGTCTGTGGAAATAGCACACTAGCGCTGTGTGTGTACGTGCACAAAAACGCCTGCATAAGCCTGTTTGTGCAGTATTATTTAACCTTTTCTCATTTAGATGCTATTTGATCCATATCAGGATTGATTAATTTAATTTAATTAGCCTTACCTATGAAGCTAGATGTTGTTCTCTATTATCTATCATTTGGGAAAAATTGGAAATGTGTGAGCTGGCTGGGGCAACAGCATTCTAGCACAGCATAATTCACATTTCTACCACATCATCATTTCTCCAGAGACAGATGAGGACCACTTGCATCAGAATAATCACTTGGGATGTTTACCAAAATACAGATTCCTGGGCTCCATACCCACCCAGCTGAATCTGGGGATAGGAGGGTCAGAATGAGAATCTATATTTGTAACAGGGATCCAAGTAATTCCTAAGCACCCTAAAGTCTGAAGGCTGCTGCACTGGGTGAAACTCTGAGGCAGAGTAAGTGAGGCCCACTATATATCGCTGAGCTAGCACCTGGCACACAGCTAGTTTATGGAATGAATCAATGTATGTCAATGCAGAAATTTCCAGGTCACAAAGAACTCAGATAACTTCCAATTCAGATTCTTGGGGACTTCCCTCCGAGAGAAGGAGGCGTTAGAAGGAGTACAGTCTGCTATGCCAGGGACCACATCTGGTTCACCCTCATATACCCGCACCTAGCTCAGTGCCAAGGAAGCCCAGCACATACTTGCAGAACAAAGCAGGGTGATGTGTGGCGGCATCAGGCAAAAGAAGAAGGGTCACACAAGTTCCACCAGCTGAGTTCCCCACTCACTGTGACTACCGCTGTGAATTGTTATACTACTGGGGACACGCTTTGAAATGTCCATAGTTCCAAGAGCTTTGTCAGTCAAGGAAAAGTGGATGGTGAAATGGCTCTACAGGGGTACAATCCTCAAGCTTGGATGAAAAATGAACACAGTAATCGTAGACTGTGTTCTGTTCATACCGCTATCTCCTGGGACATAAACATTTTATGTTTGTTACTGGTGGCTGTTTCTGAATAGAAACAATTTTGGCTCAGAGAAGCCAGAGACTTGCCTTGCTAAGTTAATATAATGTTTATTATACCCAATGGAGATTCTGCAATGGTAACCAAACAACAGTTTTGTGTGCTAAATATAGCCAATTCTTGTTATATGATGTAGTTATGTTCTATAAAGTCACCATGAATTAGTGAATACGGGCCTATTTTCTCGTAAAAACACAGGGTTAGGTTCCTGCAAGCCTCTGGTTACAACACTTTCCTCAAGAGATCAATACATAAGCTTGTTTTATGTGTTTCTGTTTAAAGATACCTAATTTAATATATACTGCTGACTCATTAATATCAAATTCATGGCCAACCACGCTAAAACTTATTCCTGAGCGAAGCTTATATCACACGTATACAGAACATTATAGCCTTCTTGTGCTGGGAACCCTAGACCTGTGGTCCCCAACCCCCAGGTCGAGGACTGGTCCAGAGAGCTCCACTGGCCACTACCCCCCTATCCTGTCTGTGGAAAAATCGTCTTCCATGAAACTTGGCGCAGGGCGGGGCGCACAGCAGGAAGTGAGCAGCAGCCAAGGGAGGAGCAAAGCTTCATCTGTATTTACAGCTGCTCTCCATCTGGAAAAATTGTCTTCCATGAAACTGGTCCCTGGTGCCCAAAGGGTTGGGGACCGCTGCCCTAGATAGCACTTCAGCACTACACTTGGGGCCATTTTCAACAGCAAAATCACCAACCAAATCCACAAAAATGTGAAAAACATGGCATTAAATAGACCATGAAAAGAACATGTGTTCACAGTATGAGAGCTGCAACAAGAAGGCAGAGTGTTACCCTTGTTCAACCTCAGCAGGAAACATGTGTGTTGAGTGGCTCAAATTATTTGCTGTTCTGAGCATAGCCCCGAACACCACAAAAGTACCATAAGTACTGATTTTGGGGTTATAAAGAAATTTTAGCAGGTAGGCAGATAATGAGGATTGATTGCATTTTCCATGTCCCCCTCTAGAGCCCCTCTCAGCCCTGTTCTCCCAGCTCTGCATTGGGGACTGAGGCCTGCATCAAGGCTCCCTGTGCTCTGGCTCCAGCTGAGGGGGGCCCAGCAGGTGGGAGGGCAGGAGGAGAGCAGGGTGGGTGGTCCTTCCCTGCCAGGGTGTCCTGAGGAGTCCCCTGCTAGAGCTCACAGGTCCAGTCAGGTGGTCCCTCTGTGCAGGTTCTCTGTCTTTTCCTTCACCCCTCAGGTTAAAGGGGGAAAACCAGCTGCTGCTAATCCCGGGGGGACTGCAACATTCTTTGCTGGTTTCCCTAAATCCTCTCTGAACTTTTAATAATACACTCTTTATTAGACTTTCTTCATTTCCCAAGCATGCCAACTACACCCTTCCAGGCCCCTGGTCCTGTATCAGTGAACGAGGGAAGGATCTCAAAACTGCACCCTTGGAACTGGGAACTCAGACTTCTTCAATCAGCACAGGCTGACTTGTGAAACAAACTGTAATTATAGGAGGTTTCTCTTTATCTAATCAAAAGCAGCTGGGATTCTGCTCTTCAGATCAAAGAAGGTGGGATTGGTGCCAATAAAAACTCATCTGACGAGTATTTTTAGGTAATGTCCTGAAAAAATCATTTTAGGAGAGTATCTAAGGCATTGAATTATATCTGATAGTGCAGATTAAAAGGGCAATGCATTTTATTAAGCTGTGTTATCCACTTATTTCCTGTCAGCTTTTCCCAAAACTCCTTCCTCTCTGGCAGAGACTTTCATCTTTCTTTTTCTTGCAACATCCTGGTGGCCATCACCATCAGCAAAATGTGCACGGCAATTTCTCTTTCCCTGTCTATTAAAACACAGGTTACTCCTTCCACTCCCCGCTAGTTTCAATCTTGACGTGCAGGGCTCGCTCAGGACTTTATAACCCCACTGTGTCACATCCCAATCATCACAGATTGTCATGTACTATGGACCTTGTTAAAGATTTACCAAGTTCATGCTTCAAGGACAGGGTGGCAAATCCATATTCTGAAAACAGCTGATACAGTGATCCTTGTCACAGGCTTAATGATTACTCAGAGGGGTGCTGTTCACACGTTTCCCCCACAATGTCTGTACTTGACTCAATAGGCCCGAGTGACTATTTCAGCTTACAACTTAATCAGATGAGCAAACTCGGGCTTCATTTTATCATCCCTGTGAGTAGGTTACTGGAAACTGTTTACTTTTAAGTCTTTAATTGTTCTTGGAATCACTTCTTTCTTTATCTAATTGCAAACAAAGTGGTACACTCTGGAGGTCTGATTTGGCACAGGGATGTGAGGTGGTTTCCACAGGAGACAGTGCGGTCATGCCTCTTCTCAGGGAGGAACCCAGTCAAAATTCACCTTGAAATGAGGAGTTCAAAGCCAAGAGCATGCAGGCCTTGTTCTCTCCGTGACAGGTTTCACACTTGAGAGTAAAAAATAAAAAGTCACCATCTGTCCAGCCATTTTATGATGGAGATACAGTGGAAATACTAATGCCATATAACAACCTATTTGCTTCTTTTTTTCCAGGATACTTAGAAAATTTTATGGTGGTTAAAATTATTTTAATATTTAAACATGAAGTATACTCAATATATTATCCTCTTTTTTCATGTTTAGTTTTTAATTGAAGGTCATTTGACACTAGACAATTTACAGCAGTGGGTTCTTATACTTTTTGAACTCATAATCCCTTTATAGATCTCAAAAATTACTGAGGACCCCAAAGAACTTTTGTTTGCATGGATGTTCTCTTTCAATCTTTACAGTATTAGAAATGAAAACTGAAAAAAAAAATGTAAAAAGATTTACTTTTTCATTAAATTTAAATAATAAACCTATTATATAGTAATTTTTAACGAGAAGAATAATGGTGTTTTCAAAAAGACCAAAAAGAGAGGGAGGGAGGAAGAGTACATTTTTTTTATATGTTTAATGCCTGACTTTGTGCATGAAACCTGGATTCTTATCCAGTCTGTGTTCAATCTGTTTGAGATGTTGTGGGTTGAGGTATACAAAGAAAACCTGGCCTCGTGAACAGTTGGAAAAGTAAAAGGCCTCAAAAACGCCCTGAAAGGGTTCCTAGGACCATACTTAGAGAACTGCGGATTTATGGACTAGTTGACATCACGGAGGATGTTTGTTCAAGGCCCTTCTGACTGGCATGACCACAGCCAATAGCCGTACTGCTAAGTCCATGCCAGCTCACCACTGCCCTGCAGTGCAAGATAAACCAACCTAGACAGGAGCAGAAGATAGTTACTCCTCCCTCTGCTGTTCCTTCCCTCCACGTGAAGACTCGGACAACTTCATTTTTCCTTAAAAGCTGAGCAGGATTCAGCTTTCCCTTTACCATTTCGTTCTGCCCTGGGCCTACAGAGCCCTTCTGGCAGAAATTCAGGGGAAAGGAAAATAGTGAGTGTGAGTAGAAAAACGGCATCTATTCACATTCCTACCTTTATTTCAAAACACTCCAGTTACAGATAAGCGGCCTCAAGGCGATCTTATTTTGGCAAGAAATCTGCAGAAATTGTTACAATGATCTCCACAGGGGGTGGGAGAGGGTGGTCTATTTCCTAAGGCCCTCAGGATGCGGCCATAGCACACAAGCAGAGCAGGAACCGTGGCCCTAAACAGGGGCTGCCCTGGCCACGAGCCCAGTCTGAACTCTCATGGCTTTGAGTGTGGTCCCGGAGGAGATGACTCGTGTTGGAGGCACCAAGTTTAAAGTCAGATTAAAACAGCCATAAAGCTCATGAGCCAGAGAACTTAATTGCTAGAAAGAATGAGAAACTTTATGGTGAATATATTGGACCTGTTGCTAGAAGTGCTCGAGCCCTCAGCCTCTCTTCACCGTGATGCAGCCCCTCCCACTCTCTGTCCAGACAAAAGGAGGCATTCCTAGAAAGGGAGAATGGCAGGAGCTCAGCATGCTAGCAGCAGGGAGACAAGCCTGGCGTGACACACCGGCAAGGAGGGCAGGCTCCCAGAAGCCTGGGTCACTGCACACCCACCTGAGCGCGAGCACTCACCTCGTTGAAATGGACGTCCTGCATCCCGACGTCTTCCATCATGGAGGCCTCCTCGTCTATGTTCGGGGTGATGACCCTGAAGGCTGTGCATCCCTGTCTACACATGCCTAGGAATCGAGGGAGCGGAGAGAGAGCCAGAGTTAGGAACCTGCACGTGGGGGAATCTCACAGGTTCTTCCTGCCCTGCGTGTATGTCTGTGTTGAATGAAATAACTGACTTTGAAATCTCTCAGGTGTCAGGCCAGCATTCATGTGAGGACCTGGGGGCCACATGTGCTTTTCTTTACTCACTTTCCCATACGGAACCCTCACCTCCTGCACTGTCTTTTTTGTCCCTTTATTTTTAACCCACCTTTATTAAAATGTGTGCAATCTTTAAATAAACTGTATATAAGCTGAGAAATAGGTATTCCATCAAATTAATAGCAAAATATTAATAGCAAATGAATGAAAATTTGATTTGGTTAAGATGGTCCATGCTCAGATACCAAGAAATGTAAAGAAGCCAAAGCCCATAAAAGAGAAATGTATGACTCAAAAATAACTGTTTCCTTCAAACTGTCATCTCACCCCTCTCTGGCCAGGGGAAAACACATAACTCAGATTACAACTCCCCTTCCACCTTCCTGAGGCAGTCTGTAAAACCTAGCTGTAACTCAACAGTGGCCGCTATCAGTGGACAGGCTGCCTTAACTTGTCCCCACGCCAGCCATCTTGGGGTGAGAAGAGGCCTTTTTCTCCATGTAACTGAGGAGCTGGACCAACAGAAAGCACAGATGCTGCAGGGGCCCAGGCACTCTGATTCTCTAAGGGGCACTGGTGCAAGCATGGAGGTGGGAACTGATGTCTGGGATACGGATAAATTCCTTAAGCAATGACAGCCTATTTGGGGCCTTTACTCATCTTGGCATCACTGGGCAACAGCTTTAAGTCAGCTGGACAATGTCAGCTGTACAAAAGGCTCATGGGAAGGACTGGAAATGTTCTACTACTCTTACGAGATGCCTGCCCACAATAAAACAAAACAGAAGTCAAAACTTGAACTGAGACCTCCCATATCTAGGGAAAAGGAGGAACACAGAGTATTTTAAAATCAAGCCTTGAAAAAGGTGAGGTGATCCTAGTCAGAGACTTTTCTGCTGCACACGGATCCAGGTTTCCATGCCATCCATGGGTTATCTAGCTTCTCTGTCACTATCCCAGTTTAGCCTTCCTTTTATTTTTTGTATGGAAACCAAAGTCCCTAATGTAAAACATTACTCTAGGGGCTTGAGGATACATTAACATACAAAAAATAAAATGATAAAAACCAACCACCATGCTTTAGGCTACCCTATAACTCAGCTCCAATGCAATAATGAAAATGGTGGCCAAAGTGGCTTCCTCTCGTGCCCACAGGAACAGATGGCCAGCCCACCGGAGAGCCCAGGAGAAGGCAGGGAAGGAGAGTGAAGTCTGTCCATGCAGAGTTGAAAGGAAAATGCCCACACCACTGAACGGCATGTGACAGAGCAGGAGGGGCCCTTGGGGCCGGGCCGACCCTCAGGCTCACCTCCCCGGCTCCTCCTCTGGCAGGTGCCATAGCTGCAGGGGAAGAGGGGCGGCCCCCGCCGAGGCGCTACATCTGCTTCTAAATGTGAGGAAACGTACCACCTGATGAACAGTCCCACGGCAAACAGCACTGATGTTACGTGAACACGGGGCCCTTCTTTTGGGCTCTGATACTCCATTCCAAATAGCCAGCTATACTAGAAATATACATTTTGTGGCCTCAGCATCTATGGTTTCATACAATTTCTCGCTTTGTAAATATACTCCTCCTTAGCCCTCACCTGGTGTTCTCTAATATTACCCGTGCAGACGACTCGCATTTCTAAGAATCCCAAGATTCCAAAAACAAATGCCACCGTTGGGGGCTGTGCTGATTTTGAAATGGAAACGAGCACCTGGTATTTAACTAAAAGGAACCTGTGGAAGAGTTCAGGGCCCGCTAATCTGGGAACAAATGGATAACGCACAGATGAGCATCCCCGGCCCCCTCTCCCTCCACTGGGAGGCTGTCCTCTCACACAACAAAGCCAGCTGGGCTGCATTCCGGAATATGCTGCCTGATAATCTCCTGTTACAACTTTTTGATTGGTAAATACTGGTAACAGTTCCAGTGGGAACTGCCTTATGAGAAAATAAAATCTTTTCAGCTCTAGATTGGCCAGTCAGGGACCCAGACACAAAGCTCATTAACTAGTTTTTGTAGGATGGAAACATTAAAAGAGGTTTCATGACAACAAACCATCTACTTTCCTTTTTAATACTGGCATTTCTGCTATGCCTACCAAATCAAGCAAATGTCATGTAAAGGAATAAAACAACGAACATACTTCATATATACACAACTCCCCCCAGCTTCGGATCTTCCTGAATGGCTTTCACTTGTCTCTGCTGCTTTGTATAGTTTTATACTCATTTCACAAAACACAGGATAATTCCTTACCTTTCCGTGTGAGATATTCTGCCACCAGGGCTGTTACGTGAACATAGCACATTGCTGCCTATAATAAAAGACACATTGCCTCAGAATCACCATGTACAAGAGCATGTCGTCATGTTCACAGACAGAGATCTACTGAATGCATGTATTTATATCAGATCTTGGGGAACCAACTAGTATTTCTATAGGTGATATCTTCTAAAAAAAAGTGGAACCACTCACATACACTGAAAATTTGAAATTAATTGGGAATTGACACAAATGGCAGTAAATTCGCTAAGGCTTGTTCCTATTTAGAATTATTACATTTTAATGTAGATGAGAAAATAGCATTTTTTCTAATGCTAATATTCCTAATATTTCTGCATCATTTCTCTCAAAGCAAAAAGAGGACCATTTGAAGAGAAGGCACACTCCTCCTTAGATTCTGAGAGAAAGGCTCAAATTTCACATGCTAATACATTTTTCTCTTGACTTAAAAAAAAAGCAGGCTGTAATTTTTTCCAAACATAGAATTCTAAATAAAAATCCTAATTCGATCTTAAATGGGTAACATTATAAATATGCTAAAATGAAAGAATAAAAACTAAATTATTTTCACTAAGTTGCTATGGTATTATAAAAATCAAAGATAGCTATTGGAAGTAAACCCACTGCAAGGTTCTAATGCATGAGAGCCTGTTCCTGCCAGCCAGGTGACCACCACCATGTGGTACCCTCATCCAGGGCCTTGCCCCAGCTAGCCACACACCACCAAAGGCTGCTTGATGTACACGTGTGTATAAATAAACATCGGCAGCATAGCATGCACTCTGAGTCATGCAGAGAAAAGTCTGTTAGAGAATTAGAATTATGCTGCTGCCCTATCTGAGGAGGCAGGGAATCTACTCCTTCCATCATATAACCCTCCCCACAGTGCACGTCAGGAAGGTGTGCCCAAAACAGCCAGGCAAATACGTGACAGTTCACTGAGCAACTACACAAAACCAGATGTGGCTGGGCAATAAGCAATCTTATAAATTATCTGCTTTAGTCACTTATTTACAGGGTGTACTGGGTTGGATAGTATCTCCCCAAAATTCATATCCTTCCTGGAACCTCGGAATGGGATGTTATTTGAAAAGAGGGTTGTGGTGGATGTAATTAGTTGAGATGAGGTCATACTGGTGTACAGTGGGCCCTAAATTTAATATGACTGATGTCATAAGAAGAGCAATGGAGACACAGGGACACAGGCTCATGGGAGAGAATGCCATGTGACCATGGAGGCAGAGACTGGAGTGACTTGTCTACAAGCCAAGGAACATCAAGGATTGCTGGCCAGGCGTGGAACACATGCTCCCTCAGAACATTCAGAGAGTGTGGCCCTGGTGACATCTTGATTTAGGACTTCCAGTCTCCAGAAATTTAAGAGAATAAATTTCTTTTGTTATAATCCATGCAGTTTTTGGTACTTTGTTATGGCAGCTGCATGAAACTAACACATGGAGAAGACAACTGAAGGTCAGTTGAATTCCTTTTCTTTTAAAGAGACCTGGGTGCCGGGGCCTGGTGGTGGCTCATGCCTTTAACCCCAGCACTCTGGCAATGAGCTATGATTGTGTGGAGGACAGAGCAAGACCATGTCTCTAATAAAAAGAAATAACAAATAAATAAGTAAATAAATGAATGAATGAATGAGACGTGGGCCATACAAATCATTAAAAAAATCTTAAATTCTGAGAATGATAGAAAAATACTACTAACTACTACCACCACTGCTTAGTAATTCCTTTTTATTACGGCTAATGTGTAGTTTATGTTACATTTATGGTGAAATAATTGTCATATTTTTTTTTTTTTTTTATAATTGTCATATTATATGTACTTTTTAGCACCCTAGACTTCTTGAAAAGTAAATGTGTAAAAAAAAAGGTAAATTTTTCAGACTTAGAACATTAATTTTACTAATTTAAACAGCTATAGAAGTTTCAAAGTACAAGCTTGCTTGCTTTAGTAATACTGTTGATTCTAACAGCACTGGTACCTAAATGCCTCAGGTATAGACAACCCTGAAGAAGCCTACTGCCCTACAGCCTACTGCTTTAATTCCCCATTTTATAGATGATGTCAGCCAGGCACAGAGGGGTTAAAAAACTGGCTCAATGTCAGAGAGTCAGTAAATATTGGAGTTTGGATTCAAAGTCTGTCTCCGGAGTCCACACACCCAACTCCTGACCATGTAGAATACTTATTGCAACATGCCAGCTCTGCACAGAAGGGAATGCTCAAATATCTACTGCACCCAGAAAAGGAAATGGACTGCCTCAAAAAGGGGAAAGTGATGTCCTATCATTACCTTAATAGAAGGAAAAATTAATTTTATCATAAAATAGCTGAATTTTAGAACTACAGAAGAGTTCTGATGCAAAATTTGATATGTATTTTAATTAGCAGGCAACTATATGAATATGTATATTTTAAAGAGCTTTCAAACAATGGTCTTCTGATACAAAAATAACCTTTTATAATTTGTTTTAAATTATTGAAATGCTCAGATAACTATGAGGTCACTCTAAGCCTAATACTGTTCAAAGTATTGCCTATTTTTAATTGCCTGCTTTTGATGGATGGCACAATTTTCCTCAAAACTGGTTTCATTTAGTGAATAGGGTATCACTTTTCTAAAAAACCCAGCTGGCAGGGGTACCTCTGAGAGATCCCCGTTTTTGACGTGGATCCTGGCCATGCTGTCGAGCCATGTCTTCCTGAGCTCGGGGGTGCTGGCGTAGGACTTGGCTAGACTGTACTGGAGGTCCACCAGCATCTCTGGGTCATTCTCGTGCTCTTTCATCTGGGCGGTGGCCATCAGAACTGTGCGTATCCTTTTGGTCAAGTCCTTCACGTCGGAGGAGAAGCTGGTGTGCTAAAAGCAAGGGTGGAAGAAGGAAGGACACGTGGCACCATCTGCTTTCGCCAGTCCACACACACCTCAGAGGACCAGGCAGAGTTTGGGGGTGAAAATGAACACGTGCCTGGCCACCCACCTTGATGAGCCGGTCACTATTGGCGCAGTTGTTGATGATGGACAGGGACTGCTGGAATCTGGTTCCCCCAATGCCGACGACATCTGCTATCAGCTGGCTGACAGAAATAATGACCTAGGGACACACAAACGAGAGCAAATCAATTCTCTTTCAAATGACTGCCCAGGCTGGGTTTCTGTGTCCAGGTAGGAGGTGGCTGAGGACAGGGTGAAGGTGGGATGCTTTGAGCAGGGATCACTACAGTAGGAAATGATGTCAGGGGCGTTTTCTTCCCTGTTTTAAGAATTATTCCAGAAGGTGATTTTGCTATCTTTAAGTATTTCATTTGCAAAGCAAAATGCTAATTAGGAGACTACAGGAGAACAAGGATCGGCTCATCTCATACCACTTGGATAGTTACTTGCCTATTACCTTCTCTAATAAAATAGACCTTATTATTTATCGCCTCCGTTTTCAGTTTGAACTTATATGTATTAGACATGCAATAGGTAGATTTCCCTTTGCATTTTAATCAGAAAATGTGTACATACTGACTGTGTAACAGAGGAGACTGCCTTCTTTTGGGTCTATGAATAGTGTCGTCTTTACCCAGCTGCTTGAGCTAAAACATCAAGGCCATTCTTATTTCCCTTTGCCTTCACCGCACCCAAGTACAATCAATCACCAAGTATTGTCAACTCAATCTCTTCTTCTTTCTAACCTCACCATCCCTGATTCAGGACACCCCCTCCCCCTCTGTCCTAGATCTGACAATGGTCTCTTTAGCTGAAGTCTAGACTCCCCTGATCTGTTCTCAACACTGGAGTCCAGGAGATCCTCCAAATACACTATGATTTGGATACACAATGTTGTGTTCTCCTCAGCACTTTCTCACTCACATTCTCAACTCCACAATAAAGAACTTCTCCAGCTCCCCCGGGGGGCCCTTTCCATGGTGAATCCATGGCCTGGAACATTTTGCTACTCTGCTACTACTGACCCCATTCAGCTCTCACGTCCTCTGGGAAGCCACCCCTGGCCAGGTGCCCCTTCTGGTGCAAATTCCTCTATGATAGCACTGGCCACGCTGCACACAGAGACCTCCATGCAGGCCGGGAGAGGGTTCTCCTTTGTTTATGCTTGTATTCATGAATCCTAGCATGTAACAGCCTGGTTCTCAGAGCAGAGCATGTAGCATGTTTTAACTCTTGAGAGATATTAGATGTGTCCCATAGTTAAAAGACAGAAAAGAATCACATTGTTGGGCTTTTGGTTTCTTACCTAAGATGTTTACTAGTGTGCATTCTCACATATGCTCTGGTATTTCTTGACTCCATAGAATTTCCAATGCTCGTTCAATATCACATTCTACATCCATTAATCACAATATCCACATTCAATTAAATGTGGATTTACCAACAGAAACACATCTTGGGCCCAGATCTTAATAGTATGCAGCATGAAATAAACCAAGCCAGCAAACATGACTGCCCAATTTTCCATCTCGGGGCCAGATCTCACAGTATCTTTATGATGAGGTAAACTGGTCAATGTGATACTTGGTCTTCCTGCTAGAACGGGATTCCACAAAGTAAATGTGCATAGGAGAGCTAACCCACACGTACTTGCAGATGTGTCCGGACAAAGGACTTCTTTCCAGTGTAGTCAAAGTTGTTCCTCATCAGGAAGTAGAGCAGCTGCGAGGCCTCAGTCCTGATGGAGCTCAGTTTGGAGTTACAGCACTTGAGAATCTCATAGCACAGAGCGGCGCACATGTCCGCTCTCCCTTCGTAGAACGTTGAGGGGAACTAGGTGGCATGAGAGGAAGCAGATAAAGCACAAAGGTTAGTGCTCGGTAACATGCCCTTCAACTTCAGGTGGAAGGACAAGAGTGTGGCCATTGCTGATGAAGCAACTTACCTTATAAATTAAGGACCTTAAGGCAGTGAAGACATTTTTTAAAGCCGTCTCTGACTGATGTTTTTGAAGAAAACACAGGTAGACGTCAAAAACTTTTTTCATGAGAGGATTATGTCCATGGTCAGCCAAGAGCTGGTTCTTAAAACACACATTGACGCCTTTGTTAGTAAGACATACCAGACACTCTAGTAGGTTTCTCACAATTTTCAGGCTCAAAGATTACATTTTCCCAGTGTTAAGACAAGTCATAATTTAAACAAACTCTGCCATGAAGAATCCTTTAGGAAAACACAACATTCTCTCGTAAAACAAACAAATGTACTATCAATAAATTTATGCTTTGGGGATAAACCTTCCAGAAAACTATTCTATAGTTTAAAGGATAACTGTTGTTTAGTACTAATTGGACTTCTATGTATTTACTTCATTTTATTGTATACCAGCGACTGATACAGAGGTGATGTTTGTGACATCTTAATTCCAACAGATAAATGTCATTACAAGTGTCAGCTAATTAGGGAGAAAATACTAAAAGAAACAGGGCCTCTAAAAGGGAAGGTTCCCCCCAGGCTTTTCAGGCACTTTGCTAAACTATGAATAATCAGACAGCTTGGTAACATGGAAAATGTACAGGCTTTGGTTGGGCTCCATTTATCATTTGCACAGGTAAACTGAGTCTTGGCATTCTCACCTATAAAAAGACAACCCTAAAACTGACCTTGAACAGCTATTGTGAAGACTTGAGGCCAAGTATAGAAAGTGTCTGATGCATACTTTGGTCTAGCTCAGTAAGCAGCTAGTAGGATTTTAACATTTCATAGATTTTACTTACCAAATAAAACAAGAGGACCACAATTGTTCCTAATCATTCTTCAAGATTTCCTCACCTCAGTAGAAAATTCACACTAATTAACACTTTAGAAACCTGGCTAGCTAAAACTCCCATCAACTGCAGAATATACACAGTAGCTAGAGGTGCAGTCCAGCAAGAAGCCAGCATGGAGCTTCATGTTTAAACGTATGTGACACTAATGAGCTCTGGCTTCAAATAGCGACAAGTTTACATGAACAAATGTGTGTGTTTGGGAAGAATATATGTGTGCATTTTGTATAAGTAGGCAAAAATGACTGTAATAAAAAATATCAAGAGGCCAGTATCTCAAACTATCCTTATAATTTGGACAAATGAACAGGGATAACTTATGTCCACATAAGTTGGTCCATAACAAATTATGGTTGGGGCTATAGTTTCAGAGCAAGATTTATCTCATCTTATTGTTGGAGGGAAAGTTTTACTCAAGGGATACATTTTAGTTTTTTATGTCCAGTGAATTGCAGATGTATCATAGCTGGTGGAACGCCTGGAATTCAGTGATCTTTATTTCATGAAATACTGAGGTACCATACTGAATTCCATCACATAAAAGAGGAGCACTTTAATAAGCAGAAAACATGATTAATTAAATGAATATGATATAATCCTCAACTATGAGTAACTGTTCAAAAAAGGGAGAGAGACAGAGGAATTTTTCCAGTGTTTGGGGAACTGCTTATATGTTCTGTTGTCCGTGAACACCATTTTTCCAGGAGCCATGGTTTGAAAGCCTTGCTTTTCATAAAGAATTTTCTTTCCTAATTGTGGCTGGGTTAAGGTGTGGGTGAATCTAGAAGTGAGCTTTCATTTTCTCAGCATTCTTTGCAGGAGCTTTCCAGGAGAGACAGTTCCTACAACTGCCCTCCCACCCCCCATTCCTGGTGTCTGAATTGGCCCTGGTCTGCAAGCTCTTGCTACTTGAGTTCTTTTTCTCTTCCTCTCACTTGTTCTGGTCAATGCTTTTGCTTCCCATTTTCAGGATTTAGTCCTCTTGGGCTCTAAACTCAAAACTTCCTCATAAGAATGGTGCTAAAACTTATTTACATTATGTATCCCATAACCTATTGTAAACTCAAACACACACAATAAAATTTACTTTAAAATAAGAAGTAAATAACCCTTCGTTTGAAGGGTTTGTAAAGGACCTTTCGTCTTGGACATATCTCAGTTTCCCAGCTACCTTCTTTTATTTTCTAATCCATTTTCTTCCCCCTCTCTCTGTGTGTCTCTCTGTTGCTTTCTCATTAATTAGACAGTAACATACACTATGGCAAACAAATCTGAACATTCAGAAAGGCCCACAGGGGAAAAAAATCCAAACAAAAATGACCTATAACTTCCCCATTAAGAAATAACTGCAGATAACAATGCAGTGTAATCTCATTTCTACCTTTTCAGCCCTAAAGACTCTTAACTGAGGGGGTAGTTTCAGTTAGGAAATTAAATGAGATATTAAAATAATATAGAGGCAAGACTTATTTCTAGCAATCAAGTAGAGAATAATTCTCCAGAAACTGTCTGTCATGGGTTCAGGGTTGACTGTTATGGGTGCTTCACCTAGGAAATGGGTCTTTCAGGGAACAAAAACTCAGTATTAGTAATTTCTGAAGATTCAGGAACACAGAAGAAAACAAACTTAAACCTTGTGTGCCATATGATGAGATATCTGGAACAAAGTTATTTAAGACAGCTAAGTCTTTCCGAGGCATATGGCATTTATTTTTATTTAGACATTGATTTAAAAATAACTTAAAAAAATTCAGCTTGGAGAAGATTTTCAGTAGCATATGCTCATCAGTCACTAAGATGACCTAGATCTCATCTGTCTTTGCAGCCCAGGGTCATGGCTATGCAAACCAGATCACAAACTCCAACCACTCATGTGCTCTTCCCTCTTTTGGTTCCTACTGTTCCTAAGGTTATGTATTAGTTCTCACTGTGTAGATCAAATTTAAAAAAGGGTCTAAATGAAATTGCTAAAAATATATTTTCAGATTAAATTTGTGAACACATTAAAAATATTTTACAATAGTTAAAGGCCAGCACTGATTTGGGACTGTGTTAATAAGAGGCATTGTAAAATAGCCACAGAAGAACTGTTTTTTTTGGCACATAACTACCTTAGTTTACAAAACACACCCTTTTATGTATTAAATGGCATAATGTATGTGAAAGTGCCCAGTACAGTATTTGGCAACTGATGAGTGCTTGGTAATTTTCTTCTTTCTCTATACAAGAGATCATTTAATTACCCTGATAGTCACTCAGCTCTCATACATGCACAACATACACACACATTCACACACACCTGACTCAGTGGAGTTCAAGGTATTGGGCAGGCCAGTTGTATAGTGATCTTGGGCAAATTTCCTACCTTGTCTCAGCCTCAATTTCCTTGTCTGTAATATGTGGGATAATCAGATTTGCTAGGCAGAGCTGTTATGAAGATTAATGCCTGAGGCACAGAGGCATTCAATAGATAGCAGGAAGCTAATATAATAATACATAACAACCAGAATCCAGGGCTTAAATCTTTCAAACATTTTACCTTATTAAGACATTGATTTCTGGATTGTCTTTGACAACTTATTAGATGTGGTCAATTAAGAGAGTCAGCAAAGACAGGGCTACATCTGTCAAAGATGATTTCCTTGCACAGAATGATGTCAGCTCACTCAATGTTAGCATTTTTCTGATATGCTTCAACTGATGGCTCAATTGAGTAAATATCTGCAAAGGAAGATCCCAGTGGCTGATGTGCCAATGGACCTCACACACCTGGGAGTCTAAGCCAGGTAGACCTGTCCTACATCTGGGCCCAACACCCAGTAATGCCACATTTGCACCCTACAGTTGCCCCTTCCCATTCTTTATGGGGGGGGGATGCTGAACTTTAAACATGAAACATTTTTGCACACAGATATACAGACTTTAACAGAGATTGCCTTAGTTCTAAAGCTCAACCTTCCTTGGGCATTTCATGGATCAAGGCCCTTTACCATAGGACCAGAAAGGAGCCAACACAGGAAAAAGTGCTTGTTGCTAATCTTGAGTTAACACTTGAGCTCCTACTAAGTAGTAGCTCCAGTCCCAGGATAGATGTTTTTGGATACTTCACATCAACCCATCTGTACTTCCACCTTATAGAGTAGGCATAATTGCCATGTTTTAGGTAAGGAAATCAGAGCTATGAGATGTCAAGTAGACACAGCCTGAGGCTGAAAAGATGGCTAATGGTGGAGCTAGAATCTAGAGACCCCAGTATTCCATACACATGCTGTCTCCAAGTGCACTGGAGCCTGGCATATACCAGCAATGTGGGAGGCCCTCTCAGGGGTCATCTCTGTTAAAACTCACAACAGCCCTGTGAAGTACAGCCCATTTTTCCAACCTTACAGATGAGAAATCTTAGGTGTGCAGATATCAAGTATTATTAATAATTCTCCCAAAGACACTCAGCCCATAAGTGTCACAATCAGCTTTGAATCAGAAGTCATCAGATGCTCTTTGTTTTTCAGGAGTCAGAACCTACCTGGTGACCAGACATTTGGAGATCTGGGAACTCTGACAAATAATCTGCTTTAATGTTAAGCAAGCAATTTAAAGAGGCGCTGGGTAAGAACTGTAGGCTGTTCAGTAAGAAAACTATCACTATTCTCGGGGGGTGCTACCCAGGCTGCACTTGGCTGCATATGCCCTTAGTTCACACTGTGATGCCAGCTCTGCACCTGCTCTATGGCTCCTGAATGTCCTGCTTTTTAAATGTTGGGGCACAGGCAGAGGGTGGAAAAAAGTGTTGCAACTGCAGTTCTGAACTTAAGGATTTATGTTTAGCACAGATACAGGTGTGCATGGCCAAATATTCACATTCAAAACCTTCGCTGCCTATTTCTATAAGAATTTTTAACTAAAAATACCCAAAAGAAAATACAGGTTCCAAAATCTCTTCCATGGTTATAGTAGAGCTGTGGTTCTCAAGCTGTAGTGTTTGGGTCCCACACCAAGAGTTTCTGATTCAGTAGGTATGGGTGGGGCCTAAGAATTTACATTTCTAACAGGTTCCCAGGGGATGCAACTGCTGCTGGCCTGGAGAGCATGCTTTTAGAGCCACTGTAGTAAAGGCTCCATGTAATAAGGCACTGCTCTCCTACACCCCACTCCATACTCATTCTATTAGGGTTTGTAACTTCCTCATCTCTCAACTGGGTTCCTAGTAAAGACATTTCACGGGGACATGAGTGGCTAAACAGAAAAAAGATATACTGAAATAAAGTGACATAGGTATATGTATACCATGGAGTACTACTCAGCTTTAAGAAACAATGGTGATATGGCACCTCTTGTATATTACTGGATAGAGCTGGAATCCATTCTACTAAGTGAAGTATCTCAAGAATGGAAAAACAAGCACCACATGTACTCACCAGCAAATTGGTATTAATGGATCAACACCTAAGTGGACATATAGGAGTAACATTTATTGGGTCGGGAGGGTAGGAGCGGGGAGGTGGGGATGGGTATATACAACCACAATGAGTAAGATGTGCAATGTTTGGGGGATGGAAACGCTTGAAGCTCTTACTCAAGGGGGTGGGGGGGGGAGGGCATGGGCAATATATGTAACCTTAACACTTGTATCCCCATAATACGCTAAAATAAAGATAAAGTGACATAATATCAGGGAAACAATTTTTACCCTTCCATATAAAGAAATGTGCTTTATGAGTAGTGGAGAGAAGTAAAACAGCATGACTTTGGTTATATTTCCCAAACACCCTTGTAAATAAACAAACTGCTTCAGTACTCATAGCATGTTAACACCAATTCAATTTCCCCTTTCTATACTAGCAATGCAAGTAATCATTTAGCAAGAATGGGAAGTGTCAGGTTCCTAAAAATAAGAGAGTGGTTGAAGAGTCTACCTTTATTTACTTGAATATTACTTGCTAAAACTTAAAAACTAGACCAAAAAACACTTTCATTTTCTATCTCTGAAAAGTTTTTTTATCATTTAATTTAGTAAAAGACAAACAAAATTTGAACAAATAAATGTGTTTGTATTTATTGCTCCTCTCTCTATAAATATCTATTTTTAATTGCTATAACATTTGGATATGTTGAAAGGCATTCAAGGCAGAGATGCCTGATTAGGTTCTTATATTTATCATCCTCAAGGTTCTAGCCAAGAGTTAGCTGCCTCCAGAGACTGTGTTTCTACCATGTCCAAGCACGTGGTACACGATGACCAAACTTTATCATATTCAAGTAATTCGTTGTGGAGTCATTTCTTTAAAGGTATTTGAGGATTAATGGTTTCCTTGCAGGAGCAAAAACAGTTGCTGAAGTAAAAATACAACAGAGTCAGTTTGTGCTGGTTGAGCTTAATAAGCAGAATGAATTTAAAAGGTAAAAACTCTGCTCATGAGCAGCTGCTCGCTACTAACCTTAAATGCCAGTGTAAACAGGGAGAGAGTGTCCAGAGCCGTAAGGCAAACCTCAGTAGCAATGTTGGCTTCCAGCAATGACTGGTGAAGGACATCTGCGTCTGAGTAGCCATAGCCTGCGTGAATTACAGCACAAGATTACTGCCCTGTGGCTCACACTGCGGGGTGGCAGAATGGGATGGTCACAGTCAACTTTTGATTATTTACAGCAGGCCCACTTTGGAGCCTTACCTGTCTTTGTTTTGGGAGTAGGTGGGGAAGTAGGGGAGTATTAATAATGTCTCCATTTAATTATAACTCTTTTTCAACTCTGAAAGGGCAATCACAACAGCAAACATTTATTATGTGCTTGCTGTGTGTCAGCCATGATTCTATGAACTTTACATGTATTATCTCATTTAATCCCTCAACAGCCCTATGAAGTCTGTATGTTATTAAGCCCTTTCTGCAGATAAGGAAACAGAGGCACAGAAAGGCTAAAAAACTTGTCTAAAGTCACATAGGTAGAGAACAGTGGAGCCAGGACTCCCAGCAAGATAGGCATGGGACAATTCAGCGACCTGGCAGGAGTGCTGAGGGAGGCTGAGATCCCAAAGCTTCCTGTGCAGATGCAGGTGGCTGCACAGCACAGGGGTCAGAAAATGAGCCTGAGATTAGCCTGCTAGTCCCTGAATACAGCTTGCACTTACCAGCTGTGCAACCCTGGGCAAGTTCTCTGGCCTCTTGACACCCCGGTTTCCTCATCCGTAGAATGAGGATAATAACAGTATCTACCTCAAAGGCTTGGGGTGAGGATTAAATTCGATAATATTTGTGAAGTTCTTAGAATAGTGCCTGGCACATGCTGAGTGCTGGAAACGGTTAAGTCAGTAATATCAAGATCTGCATAATCAGCTAGAATCATAAACGATAACCAAGAGTTGACTGCACTGCTAAGAATATTCTACTTGCTTTAATAAAAAGCATAAAAGCCAACATGTCTGAAAGAAATGTTTAGGAAAAGAAAAGGACTTAAAGAATCTGTCATGTAAATTTAATCACACATAATTTAAATATAAACTGAAATCTATATATGGCTGTACATCAATTTAGTACTAATATAAATGAACTTTGATACACAATTTGAGGTATTAAATTATGAAATGGTATGCATTAGCAGAAATACATATAGGAATGCAAAGATGTTACAGTATTGATCTAGAGTACAAAGAAAGATGGCAATATAATAAAACGCCATGTAATGTCTTTCTCCAAGGAGCAAAAATAAATCAACACTTATTACTTAAGCAATTTTCCTAATACTCCAGAGAGGAGGACATTTTGTATACAGATCAAGAAAATGAAGTACAGAAAACCTAGGGAATTTTCTTGGGGCCAGTAATGGGGGAAAAAACTACACTCCAAATTCCTTACCCCAGTCATATGTAACATATTACATATTATTAGGAAAAAATAAAGAAACCAGCATGACATCATTTTGGCTTAAATAAGTGTTAGAACTATATAATGTTTTTAAAAAGGCTACAAAAAAGCTCATGAAAGCTACAGAAGTGCTTTTAAAAATATGATAGTAACACTATTATGTGCCTTTATCCAACTTTGCTTTGTTTTTACAATGGTAGTTCTGAGGTTGTACGTTTGTGGGCCGAGTTACTTCCACTCTGCAGCACAGCCCATGTGTGTCTTTAGCGAGGATCTGTAACACATTTGGCAGCATGGTACTTCTATTTCTTTTTATTTGTGCTTTTTGAGTAAGAAATCGCCCAGGGAAGAGAAAGATGGATATGCTGGGGTACTAATATTAATTATACTGCCTTCATATAAGCCAAGGCACTACTTCAATCAGTGAGGCTTGGTAAGATACAGAGACAATGAAAGAGGAAAGCAGATTGATGATTATTGTTAAAGTGACCACAACTGTAGTGAGGGGGAAAATACAACACCTGTTATCAGACCAACCAAAATCATCACATAGGTCAAAAGGACCCTTTTTGAGGGCTGCCATTTGCCCCAAATGAGTTTGAGTCTGGGTTAAATTTTAACAAGGAATTTGCTTTGATTATTTTAATTTCTTTCTCTAAACAGAACTATCCTTTTCTCTTTCTAGATAACCCAGTGGTGAAGTGCAGCTAGGTGATCATTATAGATGAGATGGCCTGAAGAATTCACACCAAATTTACCTACTTCTGGCTGAAAGCCTGGAGCAGTTAAAAATTAGAATTTGGAGATAACGCTGCTTTTAAAATATATATAATCAATGGGCTGTGCTAATTAAGTTATTATATAATTCTGTATATATGTGTGTGGAAATGTGATAATGACAAAATTTCTCTAAGCTATTATACCACCCAGCAGCCACTGCACCATCTGTGTAATCTCCTTGAGATTAACAGTCAGAATCTGACAACCCTTGTTGGAGTTGCACAGGAATCTAAAAGAAACAGTCCTATCAGCCACAAGTCGTTATACTTTGCTTTTCCTTAAACTGTTCCATCTCAAAAACCAGCAGGATTCCTGAGCTAATGTCATTTTTAAAAATCCCTTAAAATAGATGGCAGCACAGAGCAGCTGTCCCCATCACAGGGACTGGAGACCGTGCGTGAGTGTGGAAGACTTAATCAACGATCACTATGTTATCGACCAACACAGCAAAACAAAACTGAGCTAGGAAATCCAAGAAGGAGATCTCAAGAGGCAGAGAAATTTCTTAAATTAAGGGTCAGCACATTTTAGAAAGCAGGTTAAGCAGTTTCTGACCCGGGCAAGTAAGGAGTGCGGTACTGATTTCCACCAGGGGGCAGAGGTGTGGCACTGCACTGATGCCCTCTGCCCTTGCTGGTGGGGACAGGGAGGTAGGACTCTCTATGGATGTACCTCTTCCTGCACATGTGTTCTGGGCTGGATTAGAATCCTTTGGATTTACTGCTTAACTTTACACAATTTTCACTCTGAGAAAAGACTTATTGTAAAACCTCCAAACCTTTTAAATGCTCCTGGGCCAAAGACAAGATTTCGCACCCTAATGTCATCTGCTATGTTTAGATTTAATTAATGTTACTCTGTTTTATAAATTCATGTTACCGGGACAGCTCAGTGCAGTAACGCTGAGCACATCTGTACACTCTTCCTCCCTCCCACCGCCCTGACATGAGGTAACGCAGTGGGCAGGACAGAAGTCCGATCACAGGCCACACACCTTTTCTGAATGTCAGAGGACATTTGGGACAGAAGAATAGATACACATTCCTGCAGGAGGCACTTGCATTTCGATAGCTGCATTCACCCTTCATGAAATAAAAATTCTTATTTTCATTTTGACTTTTTTCTTCAGGCCCATAATTTGAATCCAGAAAAACAGTAACTTTTATGAGAATATAAATACTGAATGATAAGGAATCTTCTTGCTGAAAAAATTCCCCAAATGCGGAAGACCTAGTCTCCTAGCTATATTCATTCACGGCATATGGCTTTACTAAGTGCAAATATTTGTGCGAAATCTCAAACTGGTCAACTTCTGCACAATCTACCATTCATTTCGATCCCATTTTTATTGCTAAAAAAATTTTCCTCACAGATAGGCAAGAAGTAGACAGCAGAATAAGAAGTAACATTACAAGGCAAAAATATGTGACTTGCTATCTGCCTTTTGATTCACACACTAAAAGTTTGTATTTTAGGAAGTGGGTATCATACCATAAGCTCTCTCTTCCCTGTGGAGCTCTTCAACCCAACATTGAACTGTATGTAAAAATGGGACTTTGTATGAGCTAAAGACCCCAATCTGTAAACACACTTGGTTTAAGCACACCATACACTTTAAAGTCCTCTGTAAGGACATTACACGTAACTGACTTTAAATGTGCATGGTACCAGACTTTCTCAATTTTGAGACCCCATCAATTGCTAGAAGAACCCATCAATGACAGACTACTATACTAGATCTAATATGAAAGATACACCCATATTTTAGAAATATTAGAAAATGTGCAAAAATGTGTCTCAGAATCAAGAAAACATAGGTTTATAAACAAACATTTCATTTACTATCTTGAGTCTATACTTTTCATAGCATTCAAGTATATTTTACCCAATTCTAAAGCTATATCATGCATGCTTAGAAACTTTTGAAAAATACTAATTTTAATTCAGAGATCTACATGTTCTCTGTATTTTTAATATTAATTCAATATTATGTACAGTAAAGGAATTTAATGATTACCTATATTCATGTTCTTGTGCTTCACAGACACCAAAGAATGTTAGAGTTAAATGAAGGTTCACAAGCCACATCTTTCAACTCTCCATCAGACACTTAAGTGACCTGGACAATGTCCCCAAGAGGGCCTCATGCAGTCTGTTTTCACACCCCCAGCTACCGGCACCCACCTGGGCTTCACAGGCAGCTCAGCACCTGCCACCACAGGCAGTTCTGTTAGAAAATACTTTCCAATACAGACATGAAATCTAATGCTCTGCAACTTAACCCCATGATCTTAAGCTGCTCCTCTCTTACATTGAATTGTATTAAATACAGGTTTTCTACAGGTGTTCCTACCTCTTGGCTGGCTTTCCCTCAATCATACCAGCAGGAAATATGAATTATCAAGCAAATGAACTGAATATATTCTAAGAACACCTCATAACATCAAAATATAAAGTGTTATTTTATGTAATTTTTGCAAATGTTTCACTTAGTTCCCCCTCACAATGTGGTCTGTACATTTTACCTGTAGTTATCACTCTCAATTTTCTCCCCATAATGGAGTTTATTTAAAATAATCTACATGTAGCTATCACTCTCCATGTGACATTTGACACAGATCTCTTCTACTGATACACAATGAGTACAAGTTAAACGCAGTAGGTCAATGCACACGAATGTTCTAAAGATTTACTTTTCATATACTTGGGCAATGACCCAAACAACAATCCTGTCCTTTAAAAGTGTTTGTCAAATAGTTGAGACTATTTGGCCACAGCAGGATTTGCCATTTCTGCTATTTCCCAGAAAAATTAAAGAATAAAGGTAAGTCCTTGCTAGAGTTACATGTATAGCCCATGTGGTGCCTTCTTCCAAGCCCTGCTATCAGTGGGTGATGGGGACAGCCTGGGGATGGTGCCGCTGGGCCACACCTACAAAGGACTCAGTTTTTCCGAGGTCCTCTGCTGCTCCCTGCTGGTCAAGCTGAGGTTGACAAAGCCTTTCCTACTCTGACAGGAAGTGAAGCAGATACATTAAGGTCTCTTCCTATTTTGATTCACTTTTGAAATAAATTCATTTTAGATTCTGGGGTATCCCTGGCAAGTCTCAAACATATAGGATCTATGTCATATTGGTTGGCCCAACAAGAAGGTATTGTATTCACTGTTAAATATGATTTTTAAAAGAGAGATATATGGCCACAAATTTCACATAAAATACCCAAGTACATGTAAACCAACATGTATGTATATATGCATATACATGTTCATACACACATGTATACATACAATGCAGACCCTCTTTTCCTTACTGTTTGTGGCTGAGTTGATGATACGGAGCTCAAAGAGCTAGCACAGGGAAAGGCTGAAGCCATTCGTACACAATGAGGATTAGAGATGTACATGTACACTGAACTCTAGGAGAAGATGCAGTGACTTCAGAGACATTAAAACCAATTTGGATGAGCAGGAATAGTGGGAACACAGGCGCAAGCTACACACTGTCTACTGGCAAAGCAGGAGAACACATGACTGAAGACAGTGTGCCGCTGACAAATGACGGAAGCAAACACGAGAGGCTGAAAGAGGAGGTAGGGGAACAGAGGTCTCTGTGGGCAGCTGGGAAAATGGAGCTCAACCATGTTAGCAAGAGGGCGTTTGGCAGCGACACAAGGCCAGCTGTCTCTCTCCTCTAATTCAAGCCGCCACACAAAACCCATCTGCAGTGGGAAGAGCTGCTACATATGTGAGTGGGTTACAGTTATCCATTCACGTGTGGATCATTCATTTAATTTTTGTTTTTTGTGTTCCCCAAACAATTATCTTTAGAGGTGGGGCCTTGGTCTGCTTATGATTTTTTTTTTAAAAAGTGTTCCAAAGTTTAGCCTTTATTTCAACTGACAGTTTCACAGAGCTGGTCTCTGTGTTATATAAATTAGCTGAACAAAGGGAGTCCAGCAGGGCACTAGGGATTGCATTTCTGTTGCTAAATAGGAAATAAAAGCTAAAAATTACAGAACTCCTGGTTGTGTTTCAACCCCTTGTTTACAGAGCTAGAAAAAGCTCCAACAGACAAGATGTTAAAAAATCAAGTATTATAGCCTTAAATGTGTCATAAAATGCACATTCTACAGCTAAGTATAGAATTCAGAACTAGCACTTTATGGCTACCAAATCAGTGTGTGGCATACTGACATAATATTGCTTAAATTAGGCCTAGAATTTTATAGAGACAACACGTGCTACATTTAACCCTGCTGGGGTGGAGGAGTGGGAAGCTGCTGTGTTTTGGTTCTTCATATGTCTTACTTTGAACTATTATTGACACCAGGTGTCGGGAAATATTGCCTCCACTCTTAGCCTGTACCAAAAAAGGGGTATGAAAAATCATAGTGAGTGGAATTCTTATGATTAGAAATGATGGGAAGTTATTAATAACCATGTATTAAAGACAGCACTGGGAATGAGAACAAATAATGGTCTAGATAAAACAATAGTTGGCTATGTCATGCTTGGAGAGGAGATGAACAGTTCAGAGAACACAATGCTAACAGAAATGGGATTATAAATGATCACACAAATTTTTCACGTGCTGCATTGTTTGTTTTTGCTTTTTCTTTGATACAGGGTCACACTCTGTTGCCCAGCTGGAGTATAGTGGTGGCATCATCATAGCTCACTGTAGCCTTAAACTCCCAGGCTCCAGCGGTCCTCCCACCTCAGCCTCCTGAGTAGCTGGGACTACAGGTGGGTGTCACCATACCTGGTTAATTTTTTAGAATTTTTTGTAGAGACAGGGGTCTCACTATGTTGCTCAGGTTGGTCTCAAGCTCCCTGCCTCAAGTGATCCTCTCGCTTCGGCCTCCCAAAGTGCTGGGATTATAGGCATGAGCCATCATGCCAGGCCATGCATGGTTTGATATCTTTTAGGTTTTCTGCTTTGAGAAACCCTTAAGAAATAAAGCACTCACATTTCTAGAAACAGCACATGATGCCACGTCCCCTCTGGTGACTGATAAAAGTAAATTAAAAATATGCTCCCACATTTTGGCAGAATGTCTATTGTGAAGTTAGAAAGCCCCAAAGTTAGGAAGGCAAGATGAACAAAAAGGTCTTGGCTTGCAAGTGAAGCGGCCTCGTAAGCAGACTTCAACCTGATTAAATCTTACCATTGTCTACAGAAATTCCAAGCACACTTGATATCTTTCTCACACTGAAAACACAGAAAAAGTCACTTTGTTATTGGACGCTTTTCCACACCCTTACAAATTGATTCACGGGCTTTATGTTTTCACAGCAGTGAAGGATTAACATCCATCCAGAGCTGGAATGTCAGAATGTGGACACTTGATCAATTACATGCACGGGATCAGGATAGGTGAAAGGAATCTGTCCCAGATTTTCTCAGGAGTGGCAGGGCAAAATCAATGATAAGTTGGCTACAGGAAATGAATCCAAGCATTATGGTTAAAATAGCAGAAAATGTCTGGCTACAGAACCTGCCGAATTTTGTCCCCCAAACAAAATGGCAAAGGGTCTAGCACTTTTAGGTTTGGTGCCGTAGTTGAGCATGTTCCACATTGTGTCACTCCCAAATGCTGAGCACTCTCCTCCAAGGAAGGGAACTGTGCCATGAGCTCTTCATCCTACTTGCTTTGAGCTGGAAGAAAAATCGAGTTGGTCACGTGGTATGGTGTGGCCTGGGGCTCTCCCCTCTGAGATGGCACATGAGATGGCTGGCTGTTATGATGGTATGTCATGGGACTTACTGTGGTTAAAAGTGAGAGAGTTATCCAGGCTGCCCAGCTGCTGCAATCTGGCATGCATCATTCCTGTTCTGTTACGGGAAACAGGCAATGTCTGAGATTTTCGATCATGAACTATGGGTCCCAACCCCTCCTGGTTCCTGCAACATGAGTGAAATGGGATAGAAGCAAAAGTTAGACGTGTTACACCGCAGCAAGATGGGGAGCGTTAGTGAAGCCACGACATGGCACGAAGGAGACGGCCACACACTGACCGAGCCAGCAGAACAGCCAGAGACACAACCAGGCAGCAGCTCTTAAAGTATTCACAGCAAAGCACTTGACAGCCCAGAAGCAAAAATCAGGCCAAAGCAGAGACCTTTTTCATTTTCATAAAGTACTTCTGAGATGCTACTTTTAAGAAAGTGAGCATCACTTCAACATAGTGCTAAAGGTTAGGTTTCTGACAACTGTCAAAACACATCATTAATCTTTTTGGATTATATATGTTCTAAAGGAACAAAAACATTTTTTTAAAATTGAAAAATGCATTGGAAGAAACGGAGAACGAACATGCAATGGGAGGGATTATATGAGGCAGTTTGAACACCTTTATTCTTACCCAAGCAGGAAGGAGAAGAGCCACACACTTTGTTAAACTTGTCAGCAGTCAAGTAGAGAAAACAGAAAAGTGATCTGGGTTAGCAATCAAACAGCTAACTTCCTACTGTGTACCATCACCAGAGCAGATGAAAACGAGACCAGTGCTGGAGTGACACCTGTCCCCTATCCCAGAGCTAACCGTTCCCCTCATCATGTTATTGTGTGTAGGACAACAGGGACATGCACGGACTTTCACTAACAGCATGCTGCTGGGTGATCTCAAAGTGAGGATGAGAAGGCACAGTGTTCATCAAACCCGACCACCATGGATGGCAAACATTGACAACACCCACATTATAGTTCAGGATATTTCTCGCATGCAGCACAGACCATGGTAAATTCTGTATAAAGCAAGGCATATCTTGCCACAGTACATGGAACAAAGTAACATCATCTCCATGCCTGTCTTCCTCTGCCCATCTATTTTTAAGGCAGTCCATGATTTTATATGCAAATATATACAGGGTGCTTATGAAGTCAAAAGATTTTCTTTTAAAAAGTTAAATTTATATCCCCTGAAAAAAATAATTTACACTTCACAAACCCAAATTCTAAACCCACTTCACAAAACCCAATTCTAAAATATTTTGTCGAGACATTAATCTTCAGCTTCTCACATTCACCATTTTAAGCTCCGAGGCATTTTATTCTACATGGCACAACAATCTCCAAATGCCATCTTGTGATGTAGGTGACGATTACTGGAAAAAGCGTGTGAAGCTCGCTCGGCACAGTGCCTTTCTGTTATAAAATACACGGTGTGCCCATACCTTCACAGGACAAAGTCAAAGAGAAATTTTAAAAGGCAACATATGAGATATGTTGGTATAAATACACCTTATATATATTTGCATTTGGTACTTGAAAACTCAAATATAAAAACTGATTAAAAAAAGCTAAAATAAAAGAATTTTAAGTGTTATCACATTTCAATTAAAAATAGCATATATTAACATGAGGAAAGCACAAAATAGTCTAAATTCGCTTTTTAAAAGAAAACACATATATTTATTGCTTAACATAAAACATAATTCTGAAAACTTTTCACATATTCTCGGAAAAGAACAATGTTAACATAAAAAGAAAATCTTCACAGTCAAATAGAAAGTCTATTAAAAAATCTCTGTCCTATTTTATTACTATAATATAAAATTATAGATATGAGAAGCAAACTTCAATTAGAATTCGATTTTAAAGTTTTTCTTAAAACATAAATATCAGCTTATTTACAATGAAGTTAAAAAGAACAGTAGAAAAATATAACACTTAGACCAAGACCCCATAAATACACTGACATGGAACGGCTCACAGTGGAGGGAAAACCAGGCACAGGCAAACCACGTGGCTGTGCGGCAGGAGGAAGAACTTGGCAGACAAGATGTGCTGTGCGGAACTAACAGAGAAGGCGCTATCTGGCCATACATCTATGAGGAGACTCGCTCTCCTGGAACTCCAGGACAGCAGGGAGGTAGGACACTCAACACAGAGCTCTGGTCACATGAGAACACAGGGCACTTATCGATTAGTCAGCATCAGAGGAGAAAAGGCTCCATTTTACAGGAAGGCTGTGGAATGGACTGAAAATGCTGTTTCATCAGAAAAGAAGGAGAGCAGTTATATGAGAAATGAGTGTTTTTGTAGTCGGGAGCAGGATCGGTAAAAATAATCTTTGCAAGTGAAATGGAGGAAGAGGAATCACTGAGGAAGGAGAAAATACTCGAAGAGGAACGGGGAGATGAGAAAGGGGAGGAGACAGAGCAGAACCTGAGGGGGAGTCAAGAAGGAAAGGTAGAAGTGTCACAAACACCACTATGGAAAATCTTTCCAAGAGAGATGCACGAGACAAAACAAGACAGAGGAAGGTAGGACTGCAGATGAAAGACACTACCAGATTGCACGGCGGCAATCCAAAGCCATCTCCACGGTTGCTCACACAAACCGCGCCGCCAGTCACCACAGACGACCATCCCACACAGACCCGAGGAATACAGAGAACGACACACTTCAAACTAAAACGCCCACAGTACCTGGCTATGTATCGCTTCCCCATGTACTGGAACTGGTGCAAGCAGACTCTGCAGACAGGATGAAAAATCATCAGGGAAACATGAAGATAAAATTGTTTCCAACACATTGTTTTATTTATCCATTAACAATAATAAATTCAATAAACACTTATGTCTACCACTAGACCCTTACTTCTGGGTTTCATAAATTCTCTGGATGGTCCCTTTAAACTCAGAAAATGAACAACCTGTAAGGGAAGCCCTATACTGTGTATCTATTAGCGCTGTGGTAGTTGGCTGGAGCCACACAGGACAAAGGCCCATGAGTGACAGGACTGTCCATCAACCCAGGGTTGGGCGATTTACTCCAAGGGAGTTGCCTTAGAAATAACACTGAAAACCATACAAGGTGTTCCAAGTTGCTTATTCATCCTCATTCAAATCTATATAAGGAGCTCTCTCTTCTGGCTCAAGTACACAGACTGTTCCCTATAGACTTCAAGTATATCTTTTTTGGGGTTTCTAAAACTATATCCACAATATTGATTTTTTTAAAAAGTCAGGTATTTACTTAGGTAGTTAAAATGATGTCTACGGAACTCCTCTGGTGCCAAATCTCATTTTGCCACATGATAACTCCCCCTTTAACTCAAAGAGGTCATGAAACTACCTTCCAAGACTAGGAACCAAACCCCTGTTGGAGGGCCAGGCCCAGTCTCTCCTATGATTCCAAAATGCACTAAGCTCTGGAAACTAGCTTTCTGCCTGAGTTCATGTAAATACACTTGGCACCAAAACATGTCTTAAACTAATAGACATAAAGCTACTTATAGTTGTCATTTATCTAATTATTATGAACAATATCAGTACTGCAAAAGTAATTTTTTTACTGCAGAAATAATATATTTAATTATTGAGTGCTACCTGAGATGCTGATGGGATGTTGTGGGATATATTCTAAATGTAAATTTTTGAGAAATACAAAAAATTCTGAATTTGGAAAATCATCAGATTTTCCAGAATGTGGAAAATCATCATCAGCAATCGACAATAAGGGATTGTCGATTCATATTTCTAAAAGTAAAGAGCTTAAAGGAAATCAGAGACTTATACTAAAGAGATAAAATGAGATAAAGATACTATATAAGATTTCACTTTTACTTATCACATATTTTAAAATTATAGCAATTTTTGTCTTGGTTTCTGCATCTGTTTAAGCTAGATTCAACTTACAAAAGCAGCATCTACCCAATTCAACTAATAATTTTGAGTTATTTTGTTAAAATGGCTTATACACATAAGCAGTTACCTCTCACCTACAACAACCAAGTATCTGTAATAATTTAAGGCTGGCCACTGTTCACTGGGTCATAAAACCCGAAAATGTATGTTGGGTCAAGTTCAGGAGAAAGGGCTTAAGGAGTGAGGATGTGACATTTATTACATTCCTGGTTCAACTACACAGTATTCTTCACACCTCTTAATTACCCAGGAAAAATCAAGAGGCAATAAGCAAAGACAAACTACTTACTCAGATATTGTAAAAAAATCCATAAGTTCAGATGTTGAAGCCTTGTTCCAATATGTAAACAAAGCATCTAGAAAATAAACATTTATTTGGTCAGAATCATAATACATACACATTATGTACATTATAGAGAATCACCTATTATGAAAATGGGAAGAGACCTTAGAATATGGGCCTCTAAACTCTGCCCCCTTTTATAGTTGATCAAAGGACAAAGCACAGTGACTCATCTATACTGGATAGCATGTACAACAGGCTTATTCAATTTACAGATGCTATATCACTTGAACTTCAATTTCATCATATAGCATCGAGTGCTATATTCTACTCCAATGCTGTATCTAAAACTTATACATCATGTGCTCTTACATAGACTAAAAAATTGAAAGAACACGACTGGGCATATAATCTAAAGCTGGGCTCTCTTGTGTTCTACTACAGAATCTCTTTCCACCAGGGAATTTGTTGAAATTTTTTGCATACTACACACACTGTTTTGCCCTTTGAGTTTTAACTGAAAAAATATAGCTTGAATCTATCTCCAACTTTTCCAAGCTGCATAATATTCCTCTCAATGGATGCACCATAACTGAGTTAACCAGTCCCCTACCGATAGACATTTACTGTTTGTCCCCTTAATCTTTTGCTATCATAATTATGTTTCAGGCTGGGTACAGTGGCTCATGCCTGTAATCCTAGCACTCTAGAAGGCTGAGGCAGAAGGATCGCTCAAGGTCAGGAGTTCAAGACCAGCCTGAACAAGAGTGAGACCCTATCTCTATCGTAAAAAAAAAAAAAAAAAAGAAAGAAAAGAAAAGAAAAGAAAGGAAAAGAAAAGAAAAGAAAAAAATTATGTTTCAGTGAACATCCTTTTATGTGGGTCTTTGCATGTATGCTAACTACATCTGTAGGACAAATTCTTTGAAGTGAAATAGCTGTATCAGATAGTATGTGCATTTCCTTTAACAGTTTAGTATTACACAAAGAGTCCTATAATTTGATGGTTAACTCTTTTTGCATTCCTATATTTTACACTGAAGTTTAGAAATAGGTTAAGAAGCTTCTCTCTGGGAAAAAGCCACTGATTCTTTGGGGCCTGAGCTGAGTAGAGAGGGTGGCTGCAGAGACGCTAATGGCTTGTGGAGACGCATGGGTATGGCCTTTTACTCTACGGTTGTCAAGAACACTGACAGGCAGGGACAAGATGGTATACATATTGAGAATTTGTTATATGCCAGGCACTGTGCTAGATGTTCTCACAATTCCACATAGAGTGTGCCATCTAATGCTCACCATAATCCGAGGCAGAAGAGTGTTTCCATTTACAGATGAGCTAATGGAGGCTCAGAGAAGTTAGGTAATTCTCCATTTACCAGCCTGAAGAATCATGGCTGTGCAGGGATTTAAATCGAGTGCCTACTAGACCAGTAACAAGGGTGGGTCGGGGAGCTTCCATCCTCAGGGGATTTTGAATTGGACCCTGGAGGAACAGACTGACTATTTGAGGCCGGCCATCCTGGTAAGGGGAGCACCGAGGGAGCCAAGTGCATACTGCAAGCCTCGTGGGATCCACCTGCAGGCACCTGCAGCCACCCCGCACATGGCAGGCAATGCCACAGCCAATCCTCACTCTCAGCTCACCCTGCTAGCTGGGGAGAGAAGGCAGACAGACTGAAGCTCTGTAAAGAAGGAGGAGACACAAGAAGGCACAGAGAGGAAGGGCCCAGAGGGTGGATGGTACCCATTAAATGTGGAATAAATGAGAGAGAAGAGTAGCTAGAATTACACAACTGATTCTGCTTGTCTGTGTGGTAACTACCTCTGGAGGCAATTTTCTCCTCACTCCCTACCACACACAAAAAATCAATTCTACGTAGATTTTTAGATTTAAATGCCAAAATTTAAATAATACTGCTTCCACAGAAATTATAGAATATCTTCATGACCTAGGGGGTAAGAGAAGATTTCTCAAATGGAAGGCACATTCACAAAAATTCTAATTACAAAGGAGAAAAATTGATAACTTGAGGCAATTGGAGAAAAAAAAAAGATATTCTAACATTGTTTTGAAGAGACAATTGCATTTCTAAAATATGTATATGACTGACCAAAGGGCTAAGTTTAAAGGATAAGTTTCACTTGGATTCAAATGTCCTTGTATACTTGTCTTTAGAAAGCAGTTATGTTATATAGATCACATTCAACATTTGAAATTTAAAATATTTGAAAGAAAACTTCAAACAAAGAAAAAACAGGACTATAATGCTGGCTAAAACTGATTACCATGAAGCAAAGTTTAGAACTTTTGGCTTAAATGGAAAGAATTTCAACACTATAACTAAAATATCATAATAATTGCCCTGTGCTTTTGTATTTTGGTCACCATTCAAGGAAAATCTTGCTTGTCTGTCTTTTTTTAAACATCTAAAGTAACAAATCAAGAGAAAAGTAAATCACCCAGTCCTTAAGCATTTAAAGGGCAGGCAGATTATTCTTACCATCTGAGTTATAACGTCAGGCTGCTAGTGCTGCTGAACTGGAAGCTTAACATAAAACAAACACTATTTCCTGGCAGAAACATCTTCCACTGGATGTTTAATACACACCTACTGCCTGCCACCAGATATAAGCAAGAGGCCTTAAAGATCTCAAAACATGGCATTTTATTTTCAAAAGAGTTCATCTTAATTCAATGACCTTAAGGAAGCTCACAGCACACCTTATCTAATTTGCTGTAGGGAAAATGAGACAAGATTTTTCACCAAGAATTGACACTGTACCATGGGATTGGTTATATCACACAACGAGATACACAGATGAGCTAACAGATTAAACTGTCCAGTCAAACATGTTTACAGGCTTTAAGTGGGCCAGATAGAGCAATCATAGTTCTGCTCACTCCCAACACCACAGAAAAGTTTGGCTATGCTTCCAAAATGGATTCAAGACCCAGCTCAGAAGCAAGTGACACAAAACCCTTCTAGATATAGAAAAATTGAGCCTTTTATTTAAGGCCCAGCGGACAAAAGGATGTGCTCAGAAATGTGGCAGCTAGCTGGGCATGGTGGTAATCCTAGCACTCTGGGAGGCTGAGGGAGGAGTACTGCTTGAGCTCAGGAGTTCGAGACCAGCCTGAGCAATGAGCGAGAACCTGTCTCTACTAAAAATAGAAAAAATAGCCTAGTGCGGTGGCACACGCCTATAGTCCCAGCTACTCGGGAGGCTGGGGCAGGAGGATCACTTGAACCCAGGAGTTTGAGGTTGCTGTGAGCTATGCTGACAATACAGCACTCTAGCTGTCTAGCCCAGGTTACAGAGCAAGACTCTCTCTCTCTAAAAAAAAAAGTGTTTGTCAAACCTTTGATCAGAAACATAATCTACCACGATAGCACTATTCCCATTAGAAAATGAAAATAACATTTCCCTTCCAGTTAAAGCCAGGACTATCATGCACACTCTACATGGAAGGAATGCACAGGTCCCTAATAATATATTTTCTAATTCCAGAGACTGACTAATATAGTTAAGCAAGTTGCCAGTTTGTTGACAAATGAAAAAAAATTTTTTAAAGTCAAAAGCTATTTCATTTATATGCTTCTGTCTCTCTTTAGTTAAGATGGCAGGCCCAAGTTAAATATAAATTTTTAAAATTGGCCCATTCACATTTTAGAACCTATTTTCTAGAATAAAATAATTAACAAAACTAATTTTCACAGTAAGGCTCTTATTTCCATTACATTTAGTAAACTAATAAGCATTTCAAAGAAGGAAGAAAATCCTTGTATCAATACAATTTACACACACACACACACACACACACACAAAAATAAACCAAATACTGGAACAAGGAAAGCAAAGCAGAAATCTTCATTTTTTTACCTACCATCAGACATGCTTTTCAAGATGTAGAGGAAACACATCAGCAGGCTCTTAATCTCAGACTGGTCAAGTTTGTCACAGCGAACCACAGAATTTCCCAAAGTGCTACTTTGTTGGTGCTGAAAAGGAAATACAGGTGATCTTTCTATTTCATTGGGGGCGGGTGGGGGGAACATTTTGTTTCCCTTTTCTCCCTTGCAAGAGAAAGGTTCTTAGAATTGAGTGAGATCATACAAATTGGAAGGCACAAGTCACTCGCTGACAGTTAAATTCCAGGCGCACCTTTGCCTGAACGTAATACACACAAACGCTGTTCCCCAGAAGCTCCGGCTTGTCTCTTTTGCACACTTTCCTAGGGGACAAGCCAGGAGGCACAAACCTTTCACACTGGATGACCAGTTTCAGTTATACCAAATAAAACCTTCTGAAATGCCAAGTAAAACCTCATGCAAAGTTGTGTGTGCTAGGATCGAACATGGAAGACACCGCACAGCCAACCATTTCCTCAGGGAAGGGGCAGTGGCTGAAACAGCAAGTAAAGGCAGTGGCGCCGCTGCGTTCCAGCTGCAAAGCCTGAGCCCTGGCGCTGTCATTTGGGGGACATCGTGGGGTGGGTCAGGGGCACTGTTAGGGGAATATAAGGGGCAGGTGCTCGACAGGGACAAACAGGTACACCTCAGCACAGCATCACCAAAGACCCTAAACTGATGAGGTCACACCATCACCAGCTTAGCTCCACAACACTGCAAACGTCAGAAAGCTTGGGGCAGAGGGGAGGGCAGTTTTGCCACTAAGCAACACATAAAAAAAAAGTAAATAAATAAAACAAGCCTCCTCATCTCGTGATTACAAACACAGGAGATTTAAAAAAAGCCCTCCAACTTATGTTTCCAATTGAAATCAGGAACATTTTTTTTTTTTTTGCCAAATATCAAAGAAAAATGATCAGCGAAAAAACATGTTTCATTCAAGGTTTTGGTGGCCAATTGAAAAATTACAGGCTTAATTAATAAGATATGTAAATATTTTTATTAAAAAAAACACACAGGTGCAATAGTGGCAAGACTGGTACGGAAGCATCACCTCGCCTGCCCTCTTGATGGGAGGCACTAGGAGAAGTCAGTACTTCTTGCAGGGGAGGGGTGGGTGCAGCGTGCAAGGCTTCCTCTGGCAGAGGTGGGATCGTTAGAAGGGAAAAGTCCACAGTGACCCGGTGCCTTCTGGCTGACTGGCAGCTCTCCTCCTCCTCTCCAGCACCGCGTATGACACAAGCGGAGTGCCTCCGCAGCAGCTTCTCCTTCTATGTGCGAAGGCATGTTGGAGTCAAGGGAAAAGTTCAACAGGTCACGACACACCCCCGGCACTGAGCTGCTTGTGCGACAGAACTGTATTTAAAGATAATCACGAGCGCGCCAGCCGTGGAACGTGACAAGATCACACACCTGATACTGAGGAACACGGTTTCTAGATGTTTGCTGAGAACTAGGAATACCTCCCCACGTGGTTCGCCAGCTTATTACCACAGGTGCCTGCCTCTAACTTGAAATAACTTAGGAAAACTGTACCCAAGGTGATACCAATCTGTCATGGTTTCAGATGTAAATCCAAGCTTTATCCTTTCGCACAAAGTTACAAATTGCCTGAGCCTTTAGACATTTCAAGAAAAAAGGTTAAGTATGAGGAGGAAGTATTGTGTTGGGGGTGGGCGCAGTGTGAAGAGAGTGATTTCAAATGAAGCCTTATCCCTATATCACTTCCATGGTCAATAACTCTTCTCTGGAGCTGGGTTCAGAGAAGTGCATGGAGAGCTGTGTGAGAGGTGGCGTTCTCCAGCGTTCTCTCTCCACGGGGAGTCTAAGTGAGTGGCACATGGATTCCCCATCTGTCTGACCTGCCAGAACCAACCACTCACAGTGCTCCACTGTAAACACTACCCTTAGCTGAAGTCCTGGAAACAGGAATCAGAGAGTTTCAGGAAGTGGGTCCCAACCTTAGATAAAGCTCCGATCATCTACCCAAGCTTGGTGGAGTTGTTTACAAAAAACAAAAGGTCACACTCACAAGGCACTAGAACATGAAGCAAATTTACCACAGACTAAATCCATTAATTACAAGAAACACTTGTGTTACGTGCAAAGAAATTACCTTATCCAGGGAATTGCTCTTCTCACTGTTCCTTTCTGGAAGGCTGTTCCCTGAATCTGTGCTTATGAGAGATCCTCTCGAGTCAGCGTTTCTCACACTGTTGATGTTCGGAGTTGAGGTCGTATACGGAGAAGCTAAACGGAAATGATGCCAAGACCAAAGTTTTGTTGAGATAGAGCAAAATAAAGGTAAGTTCTGACTTTTAAGGGAAACTGCTTTTATAGCACTTATTTTCTCTGTTAGGAAATTGGCTCAAGAGTTGCATTCAATTACTTCACCTTTAAAGAACCAGGTCGAATGATGAGATAAAAGTAAATTTCAGGCTGAAACAGTGAGATGTAAATATCAATTCATTTATTAGAAACCACCTTTGACTGCTAAGACTAAAAGGGCCACACACACTGTTTCACAACGGGATAGAATGAAGACTTGAAAGAATTAAAAGGTAAATCTACCTATAACTATCAAATAAAAAAAAATGTATCATATAACAAATCCACGTATTCAATCCTAAGCTGGGGTGCTCTAGAAAACTCTGAGGGGCGTCACAAGATATTGTATATTTTCAAGGGAAACCCAATGTGATACTTGATGTTGGCCAGCAACTGCAGTTTCAACAGATAGTGCTACGTTCCTCTCCATGATGTCACATCTTTATGAAGCTGGCTATCTGGGGTTTGCTATAATAAAAAGCAAGTGATGGGTGAAAATCAATGTGAAACAGGAAATGAGGATGATGGTGGACAATTTGACTCCAAAGTTCAAGAAGATGTGAGTGTCCAATAGGCACGCATACACACCCATTAGTAATAGTTGTGGTTATTAAAAATGAAATAAAAATTTTTTCTTTAAATTTTGTGTGTGTTTTTGGAGCACCTGATAAGTTGTTAGGATATAAATACTTGTAATTTGGCCCTAAGTACCTAACAAACCGAATATTATGTGTTTCTTATGATCTAGAGGCACCATGAAAAAATAAGGGTGCTGTGAATTAAAAAGAGACTCTGCTATAAATAGTTACAAGCAGAAAGAAAATCTAATTTGGCAATAAAATTTGTGATGTGCATGAAAAAACAGCATTTGAAGGCGGAAATCAGTCCCAACCTTGGTACTGTGGACTTTTTTAAGATAAGAGACTGATTTCCTGCTTAGATAATATTTAAGTAAATCACATAATTAAAAACGACTCCTCGGTCTTGTGCATTCTGTGCTGAACCAAAAGGCATGCCTCCAGCAGAAAGATCTGGCTGGTTTTGCAGGTGACATGAGGAAATTTTGGCACCGTGTTTGGCAGCTGTAAGCACATCCTCCCAGATCCAAGCTGAGGTGCCACACCTCACAACAGGCTGGTCATTTTTAGATTTCAGTAGGCAAATTAGCTACCAGGGACTGAGACACTTCTAAATTAAAAAAAAAAAAAAAAGTAACAAAGTAAATATAGCTGGCCCCTGTGTTGTGCCAAAAGTCTTTTTGTAAGTCACTTGGTTGTTGCACTTTTAAATTTGCTGGCTAATGGCACAAATTCATCATTCCTCAGGCAACATCACGATGCTTTAATCTTAGAATGAAGATCTGTATCCTTAAGATCATAAATCCTTTCTCCTGCCAAACACTCAGATTTACCACTGCTATCCGTGACATGGATTCAGTGTATCAAGACCAAGAAAGGAAGGGCCAGGGAAATTAGAAAATGTAAGTGAAGGCTGCATCTCCCCAGGAAAGAAACTGTGTCATTGATTGTCACAAGGAACAGGGGAAAACCCTACGACAAAAACATGATCTTTTTTCTGTACTCTGAGAGAAAATAAACACACACTGAGACCAAATTATAATTATTCTAATATAACTGTGCTTTATATTTAATGTAGAACACAGAACTCAAGAGACAGAGGTCCTCAATAAAGAAGAATTTGATCTTAAATTCTCACAGTTTTACGCTGGATTCCACAACTAGAGTCCTAGTTTAAGGCAAACAATTGGAAATGTGATATAATGTGCTTGGTTTGTTCCTGGTTTGTATGTGTTTGTATTTTGTATTCATTTCATATGAATCTTTGAAAATGTATAACTTTCAAAGACCTTAAACAACATATGAGTAAAATGAAAAGTTAGTTCACCCCCTTCCCCTTGGTACCAACAGCCCAGTGTGAAACGCTGAGTAGGCACCCAAGGGAACATTGATCCTCAGAATGTGTGCCTTTTGCATCGAATGCAAACTCAGAACAGCTTTAATCCAGGCAGTGAATCAGTTTTGGAAATTCCCATGCACCATGTTCCAAAGACATTTAAAAACTGTGAAGGCACATTCTCCACATGGGTGGGAATGGGATTTCTTGTAAGCAGAGATGTAAGGAGAAAGTCTGCTCTTGAAGGATAAGCACCAGCACTAAAGTTAGCTGGAAACTCTCCAATGCATCAGAGAAGAGCTGCTAACGCTACCAGAAAAAAACCCAGTAAACCCAGTGCAAAGGTGAGATGTTTGTGGAAGGCACTCCTAAAACAGAACAAGGACTTAAGTCTTCAAGATGAGAAGAATATAGATAATGCCTGAGTATAAATAAACCTATCATGGTGTATTCCTATGAAAAGTGAATTTGTATCTTGAAATTCAAGGAGTCAAAAAGGATTAAATCAGTCTCAAGTACTTTCCATAACTGGCCCTGAACACAGAGCAAGTGAACACTGTCATGATACTGATGCCCAGTGGCTCCTCTATAAGTTTTCAAGAAATCCCAAATCCCAACAAGGTAAATTCTGAATCAGAGAATGTCCAAATGAGTCAAAACAGAAGCATTCGAGGCTTTGTGGAAATGATCAAACTACAGGGAAGTTTTGGCTCTTCTGATACCTCTCTTTGCCCAGCACGGTGCACATCATATCAGCTCTTTCTCTCTCTAGTGACTGTTTTGGAGATGTGGATATGGGGGGTGAAGAGGATGGACAACACCCTGCCATGGCAACTAGTGAACGTTCAAGTCCAGCCCCAAAGCCACATCTGTCTTACTTTAAAGCTAGTGCCATGAGCCGCTGCAGAGCAAACTCTCTGAGGAAGGTCCCTTCCCCATTTCTGGAGCAGCAGAAGCAGAGACAAGATGAAGGCCCAGAAGAAAGACAAATGGAACTTTTGATAGCAGCTAACATTCACTGAGTGTTTACTGTGGCCCAGGCTCTCCTCTAAACACTATGCATGAACTAAATTTTTAATCTTTACATTGCCAAATAAGGTGATGAGTATGTATGATGAGTAAGTATGAAAAATACACATCGATATAAATATTAAAGATTGGTATTAGCATTGTAGGACAAATTTGGGCATTGGTGTGGCCTTTCCGGTTTTAAATTATTCCCAGTTCATCTACATGAAATGGCATATTAACAACGACAACACAGAAGGTAAGGAGATGAACTCAGAATGGACGACAGTTCAGCAAATTAATTAGATCAAAGGACTTCCCTTCCTTCTGTCCCATGAACGAGTCACATTATTGGGTAGTCCAACCACTAGCCGTAGTAAACGATGCTTTATTTGCACAAAATGAGATAAAGAAGGGGAGAAATCAAGAAAGAAAGACCCTGTGAATATCTGTGACAATTCTTTGAAGTTATATATTTTTGTGACACTATCTTTAAGGAGCTAGCACAGGGGCTCAATTAGAGTATTAACAGGTGCAGTTTCTCAGGTATTTTCTTTTGAAGGAAACACTCCATTTGAATCTTGACTTACACTGTCTGTTTTCCTCCCTGTGGGGGTTGTTCTTCCATTATTTCAGACAGAAAAAATATTGCAAGAGAGAAGATTTTTGAAAACTGGCTTTAAGATTGAATTCTAGCCATAAACTGCTATCTCCTTCAGGAATTACTATGTCACATTTCATCTAAATCATTAACACCTCAAAAAAATCCTCCCTTCCCCCAACGCCTGCAAAGATATGCCTTTTCTAGCAGCATAAACTATCCAATTAAGATTTAAAATGACAAATCAACTTTAACAAGCATTTAACAAAGAGCAAACAGCATAAGCAAGTGATTAAATGTACTATATTCAGGAATCACAAGTGTTTGGGGATTGTTATTTCAGTGTGTGGTTGAGGGATTTCAGTTGTCAAGTGTTACAACCAGGTAAAGAATATTCAAGGCAGAAACTCAGACTTCAAAGTCCGAATTTGCCAATGTGACACGTTAATGAACTATGGAACTATAGGATTAAAGATGCTTTTAGAGTGACACAGGAGAGAAGATAAGAGCGCCGAGTATTACCGATGCCAGAGATGGCGCCCAAGAGGTCCTTGTGCAGGCTGTTATCCAACGTGCTTCCCTTCTGCGGCGTCACCAGTGGGTTCACAGCGGGCAAGGCAAGAGATTCGTCCTTCCCAGTCTGTCACGGGGAGGAAGACAAGAAACAATCAAAGATGATTGAAAAAGACTCCTCGATACTTTTTGAATGTGCGAGGGCAGGTGCAGGAACAAAACAGCCTGACACGCTCAACAGGCCAGAGTGGGAGAAGCAGCCATGCGGCATGGGCGAGGGATGAGGTGGAGGACGGGCCAGAGGAGGAGGGGGCATGGGATGTGCAAGTGGGGGTGGGGGGCAGGGAATCATGGTCCACAGAGTCACTGTCTCTCCTTCCCAGTACTTGTAGTACCTTTCCCCTTCCAGGAGAGCTCTGATATCCAGCCTTTTCTTAGATTATTTTGGTATTTTTTTCCCTCAGAGAAAGCCTGCTCTGTTCTTTCTAACTAGAATGCTAGTTTTTCTCTCACACTGGAAATCTTTCCAAATGAGCAACAGGGAATTACAAAAGCAGCAATGGCAGTCTCTAGATGTTTGGAGCCTCACAAGAACTCTCAGTGAGTGCAACAATCATTCATTTTGAAGTTCAGTCAAAAAAGGGATTTCACTTTGGTGAAAACCAAAGAAAGACCTTGTGTTCATATTTCTCAGGATTGAAACACTACAGGGAGGTCACATTCTGCCCTGAATTACTTACTCACTCTGGTTGGAAAGGCAGACAGGGTTAGAGAATACACGTGTGAGATGCAATATTGTACAGGGTGAGATCAACAAGGTGCATTTAGCATAGAGAAAGCTTATACCCTTTGAACAGCAGTGTGGGCACACACACGCAAGCTATAAACATGGCTCATCTCAGTGTAACCTGATTTAGGAATGTGTTAGGAGGTGAAGAGGTAGGTAGTGTGAAAAAATGGGAAAATGCATCACTGGTGGAGAAAGGGATGGAAACATGTATGGAAGCTCCCCAAGTATATACCATAATGACAAAGTGGCAAGATTAACAACCAAGCCAGTTCCTGTAACCAGAATAAAAGGGGAAGGAAAATTGCTGAACTGGTAATATCCGTCCCAATTAATAGCAGACAAACCCTCTGAGGCCAAGAAAAGAGCTTAGAATGAGAAAGAATACAGGTTTTAGAATGCAAAGTGTTTATAAACTTTAATAATTAAAATTATTACAGGTTAATATTTAAAAAGCTTTTTGCAAGTGAAATGTGATAAAGAATCTGACAGTGATCATGCTTTGAAAAAGCTGAATTATAAAACAATTCCAAGAATCCTTTTTAAATAACAAGAGAAATCAACATGTATCAAAGACTGAGTAAAAGATCAAACAATCTCTTGCCAAAACGTTATAATTTCTGGGGTCATCCTCCAGTCCACTTAATTTCCACACATCTTTAAAAGGCTGCACAAAGACAATACAGATGCAAGTGGTCAGTTCTTGGAGGTGGGGCTCCCTGTCCCTCACCCAGACATCCAGCCTCACTTGCTAATTATATGGTCAGAGAGAAACTGTAGCCCAGAGGTGGCTTCTCCAAAACTGTGTAGCATGTTATCACCAGGTGCTACCATGAGCTCTTACATGACACAGGTTAGGAAACACAGGTTAGAAAACATCATGTTTTCTGCCCCTTCATCCCCAAGAATTTATGCTGAATACACAAATGAAAGTTTTAAGGCCTTACAGGACATTGGGCCATCAGGAGATCAGGGTTTTCATACTGATTTTTAACAAGAGTTAAAAGTTTACTGATGGATTATGCCATCTTAGCCAGAAAAGCAATTCACCAGGAGGACTGTGGACTACTATGGTTTTATTGGCAAAATAAAGGGTGTATGTGTGTGTCCGAGTTAAGTAGTGTCCCCTCAATACTCATGTCTACCTGGAACCTCAGGATGTAACCTCATTTGGAAATAAGGTCTTTCCAGATGTAATTGTGACATAATTTAAGATGAGGTCATACTGGGTGGGCCCTTAAATCACCGGTGTCCTTACAAGAAGAGGAGAAGGCACACAGAGACACAGACACACCCTAGGGAGGACACCATTGAAGACAGAGGCAGAGACTGCAGCGGAGCCAGAGAGCACGGAGGATGGCAGCAACACCAGCTGCTGGGGTAGAAGCATGAATAGACCCTTCCCCCAGAGCCTCCAGGAGGAGCCAACTCTGACGACATCTTGACATTGGACTTCCAGCCTCCTGCCTGTGAGAGAACAGATTTCTGCTGCTCTCAGCCCCCCACTTTGTGGTACATTGTTCTGACAGCCCCAGGACCCGACACCAGCCCTGTGTGACCAAGCTTACGTACACTGCCAGGGTTCACGGGGAAGGGCGACACCTCCCTCACATTGATCCGCTGGACGTTTTCAATCAGCAGACCAAACAGAGGCAGGTAGAGAGTGGCTATCCTTGCCTGATGACTCTGAAAGGAAGACACACAGGGTCAGTATGCTCTGTGGTTCGAAGAGCTGCTAACTGACAAACTAAGTTGGCACTGGCCATCTTCCTTTATTTGGAGCCTTCCTACAAAGACAGATATTTGATGTTATTCTCAAAACAGAAAAAAGTCTTGGCGCTGTTACCCTGAATTTTCTAGTTGGCTACTTTCTTCATACTACTTAAAGGACTTTGTCAATGCCCCCTTCCTTTCACTGGGGACCACTCACCCTGGAAGCGTATCTGTCATCAAAGGAATGCTTTATCAGCAGGTTCTTGAGCACGCTGATGGCAATCAGACGGACCTCCCGGAACTCCTGGAGGGCAGTCCCCACCTCTCTCAGTAACAATCCTACCAAGAAGTGGTTTCTGCAGAACTCGTCTGTTAATGAGTAGTCAAGCTGCAGGTCTGCAATGAGGATACAAAGAACTTTAGTTAGGGAGGATGCAACACCCTTTGAATAAATAAAAATTAAACCCATCCTCTGCGTTCGGCCCACCCTGTGGGTGTCAACAGATGATGAGACTTCAAAGGGCAAAGGGCTAATTCTATAATGTTGTTCTATTTCTTAACACATGGAACTCTTAAATGAAAACCAAATTTAAACACAAATAATTATACCAGATTTTGATTTTTGGAACATATTGCATTCTACATAATTAAATCAGTGAATAGGTTAAGTACCAATTTTTAGAATAGAGAACAGCATATGTTACATTACAAATATAAGTTTGCTATTGACAAAGTCAAAAAATAAAGTTATTATACTCATGAACAGAACTATGTAAGAGTAATTTGTGCATAACAAACATGTAATTAAACAAAGAATATACATGGTTTATTAAAATGTTCCTTACTACCTAGGTTCATGTACCCATTTCCTGGTCACTAATGCCTATATACTCCTATAAAACCCAATGTGTTTAAAATAAACAAATTAACATATAAAATAACCTATTTATTCTGTTATCCCTGAGTGAAAAATTTATTTAACACAGTATTTCATAAAATATCCTCTTACTATTTCTGCACCTCTAAAAACAAATCAAAAATTAATATAAACTAAAACTAAAATGGACGAAGCACCAAACCCAACTAGAAACGTATCAACAAGCTAAGTGACAAAATGAAAAGCTCTTCTGGAAAAGAGATAGAAGCAAACATGACCTCTTCTGAAGGTAAATAACAGCCACTAAACATCAGTCTAAAGCTGAAATGTACATTCCCAGGAAGCCGAACATAGATTTGAACTGTTAGACTGATTTCATTATTAAGGAAAGTTCATAGACCTCTCCGGGGACTTTAATCCCATATCAACTAGTTACACCTAAATCCACCCAAAATACTGACCCAAGTCCTTTGAAATCCTTTAGTAGAAAGAAGGGAAAGAGTGAATAATTTTCTAATAATTATGTTCACTGCTTATGATCATTAAACCCATTTTATCCAAACTATAGTTCACAGCTTAAATTCACATAAATCTCTTAGGAGAAAACTACTTTAAAGGTGTGTGTTTGTGTGTGTACACACATGCATGTATATGCATGGATATGTGTGTGCATGAGAGAGAAAGCAGAGCCAGGGCTGGGGAACAAGTGATAGGGAGAGAGGAAGGAGAACGCTAACAAAGATTTATTCCTCTCACTGTAGTAACACCAATTACGACCCTCACACACCTGCCTAAGGGCAGCCCCTCTTGCCCCCAGTCCCCTGGAAGTCTCCTGAAAGCATGTGTGGGCCTGCTGGGCACCTGCAGCATTTCCATTCCACTCAGTTCTACAGGATGAACAATTAGGCCTGGCTGGGTCACAGGGAAGAAGGGCTTTAGCATACACTGACCATGCAACCCTGTGAATAAAGAGCTGCCCTCAACTCCTTATCAGGTGAAAGGAAGAGTCACAGTCCCCAAGTACAGGCGACTGTGAGGTGGCGGGAGGACTGATGGGGTTTGAAGTGTAGGGCAGGTAGGGCAATTAATTCCAGTTGTGGAGCTGGACCAGGGCCAGGAGACCCTGGGAGGCCCCACGTAGGAGGTGCGAAAGAAGATGAGGGTTCTCCAGGGAGGGGGCTATTTGAGGTAGAGGGGTGTCTGGGGTGGGGATGCCACATTTGAGGAGCTGGGAGTAAGCATGCATGTCTGCAATGTGGGGAACAGGAGGGCTAGGGGCATATAGGGGGGTGCTGAATGCCTGGCTGTCCCTCAGTCCAGAAAGCTCCCCAAGATGTGCATACATTCAGCATACTCACTCTCTTCTACTGTTACCTGGCCACCCTGTCTCAAATGGCACCCCTTCTCACATTCCCCTTCCTTGCTTTATCTCCTTAGCATTTATCAGTCTCTAACATTCTATGCATTTCACTTACATAGAATAGCCAAGGATTTTCATCCAGGTTGTCCACAACTGTAACCTGAAGCTAGACATGGCTGGTTCTGGGTAAATATCTGTTGAATGCATGAATGCCAACTCCAGGACTACCATCCTCCTTGCTCCTTAAAAGGTACTATAAGTCTGTTTTAGTGGAAGCTATCTGTCTCTGAATGAATGCATTTGTGTGTTTCTCTCTGAATTTCACAGGTGGTTGATTCAGGTGTCATTATTAGCTTGGTGGCATCCTTCCACTTGTTCTCTCCTTTAGCACAAATAAACCTGAGCACATTCAAGGCTCTAAACTCAATAAACATTACTTGACAGACCTGACAGAGTAATTTGTTTAAACTGACTTACTGAGTGAGGACAAAGAAATCTATGAGTTCAACTTTCTTCAAACTTAAAAGAGAATACAGAACATTAATAAAGACTCAACGTGCAAACATAAATAGCAGGTGAAAAAGCCGTGTTGCTTGTGATTTAGGTTACTGCTACTACTATGGACAATGGCTATGAAAATGACAGAACAATGCATTTTTCTGGACGAAGCAGGGCTTTTTGTTACTGTTCTTAAAGAAACATCCTAGAGTAGCCAGTGACTTCAAGAGCACAAAACCAGATGACTCCCTGGGATGCTGCAGCAATGTCTTAGCTTCAGTAAAAACAAATTCACTGGTTTATCATGAGTTTACAAATTGATCAAGGTATATGGGAAACACCTAACTGAACAGCATATGGAAGCATCTCAGCAATAACTTGCATTCTTTTTCTTCTAAAGGAGGAAAATGCAAGAAAGCGAGCACCACACCCACACCTACCTACAGGAGTGTCATGTGACTCCACAGGTGGTGAAAGAAAAGCTAATTCATGAGAAAAAAAGGAAAGGTGAAACAAATAAAAATAAGCTACAGTAAGTAAGATGGACTTCTACTATTTAAGCAAAGGACTTTTTTAATGAAAACAGAATCACACTGGCATGATATGTAGTTTGATAAGTTTGCTGAAAAGTAAGTTCCCCTATAACATTTTATCAGTACTTTTTAAAATGGATATTACCAAGAAAACAGTTCACCAATGGAAAAAAAAATAAGAAAATGCTAATATCAATTATCTTTTTGTATTAAAAATAAGCGGCTCTCTTTGTGAAAAGATTAATATACATAAAGATGAATTACCTTGGTATCTTTGAATCCTGCCTTTTCCAAATGGCATTGGTAAATTCAAAGGAATATAATGTTCATGATTACACACCACACGGAGAAATTCAAACTTGTACTCAAAGAGGGTCTGCAAGAAAATACATTTAGTCGTAAATTAAATGCATCACTGGGTATTTTATACAGGATCCTAAAACACCCATTATAAATAACACACCTAGTCAGTAGCTTCTTGATCCTCTTGGAACTGCACTCTATTGCGTTTTACAGATTTTAGAATGGCTGCAGAGATTTGTTTGAAAACTAAGACCACATTTCATTAAACAGTGTCCTCAACTGACTTTTAGGGCATTTATTATTTATGCTCCTCCTACTTCAATGAAGGATTTCAGGCAGTTTATCATTATAGACACACTCAAAACACTAAAAAAATTAGTAAGGCAGAGCCTTAAAAAAACAAGGGGAAAAGATAATTCTATCAGAGAAAGGCTAGATAGTTACTTCTGTTATCTTAAGTAAACTATGAATTGCAACAATATACTTTTAGTTTTGTGGTTGAGAAGTCATTTCAGGTATTTAAGAGAAAAATCAGTGGGCATGTTTATTTCTCATTCTCTCATTTCTCATTATTACCATGTCCCTAATATCTCTCGCATATTAAGCAACTAAGTACTAGTGTTTCCAAGAGAGGAGTGAGTTGTGCCCCTGGGACAGAAAGAAATGTCTGATAAGAACTGAGAGAAACAGGTAGATTTCCAGATGTGACTCAGTGAGGTAAAAGGAACAGTATGCAACACCCACACTACCTTTGGGTCTCCAGGAGCAAAGCAGCTAATGTAGTTGTTGATCTGTTTAAAGACAAAGCCCCTGTCCATGAAGGTGAAACATCTCTGTAGAGAAAAACAACCCACAAAAGGTCAGCATTCAGGCCTCAACTTGCATTCAAATCAGCATTTATTGTTAATAAGTTCATCCTTTAGCATAAAAACCAGCCATGAACATTGTCGGAGCACTACTCCACTCTAGCTGTGCTAGATAGCTGCTTAAAATGAACATCTGAGTCACATAACTGACACCCTCCTCCCTAGAGGTCCCCACCTTGATGAAGACAGCAAGGCTATGATTTGCGTTCTTAGAAGCCTCCGGGTTATCTCGAAACTTCTGAGTGATGTGTGGCATCAGCATATTCACAACGGTTTCCACTGCATGATGATAGGATGCAGGAAATCTCTGGTTTCGCAGTACCTAATAAGAATGCAAAGCAAATATTTATTATTTTTGAAGTTGCAACTCTTTAGGGAAGAAAATTCCATCCCTGAGTCCAATTTTAAAAACCCAGAGTACTAATCTTATTTCTCTGAAATTAGAAAGAATGAATTACTCTTTCTGATTTCAAAGTACTGTACAAAATATTCAAATACTTCAAGGTAAGCGCTGCGGATTAGAACCAGAATCTCAAACTTCAGCATGATAAAGATCACCTTGGAGGTGTTTGTAAAATTGGGGAGAGTCAGCCTCTACTTCCAGAGATCCTGGGTCAGGAGACTGGCAGGAGGTGCATGGGGAAGGGGCAGAAACCTGCATTTTTACTGAGCATCTTTGATGATTCTGGTGCCTGTACTTCTCAGAGAGCTTTTCAGAAAGCACTGGCTTAAGGTCTAAGCTTCAAGTACTAAAACTGCAAATGCACAGATTGGTGATTGTACGTAACTAAACTGCTTGGCAGCAGTCCTCTTCAAGTTAGCTTTACATAATAATCTTTCCCCATCAGGAACCTAAAAAATTGTACTCAGACTAGCTTAGTAATTAGCTAACACTTATGTGTATATTCTACATGTCAGGCACTGCACTACATATTTTTATGTACTTTTTCTTCAATTCTTATAAGATTCCTACAAATTTAATGTTCATTTTATAAAGGGTCAGAGAGTTTAGGTAAATGTGTCCTCAGTCACACAACTAACAAGGATTCAGGCCCAGGTCTACCACAAATCCAAAGCCTGTGCTCTTTCTGCTACGTGAGGCCACACTGCCCCCTTCCTACCATAACTAGAGGAATGGCCTGGGAGCCTGACATAGGAAGGGTGCTGAACCAGATGTTCCATTACATTGATCCATCCATGTATTTAATTCTAACAGTCATAAGAGTGGGGTATTTTCATCCCTATTTTACAGATGAGGAAACTGAGGCTTAGAGAATTCAGTAAAAAGCACTAAATGACCTTTAATAACCCTCCATTTCTTCCCCCTTTAACCAACAGAATCCATGGTTTTATAGGAGATGTGGCTGCCCAGCTAAAGACTATGTTTCCTATCCTGACTTGCAGCTAAATATGGGCCACATGACCAAGTGATGGTCCATGGGCTGTAAGAGGAGGTGACATGTACCTTGTCCAGGCCATACCCCTAAAAGGAGCCGCTGGCCTTCCCTGTTCCCTTCCTACCACTGTCTAGAGGGTGTTGTGGTGAGCTCCATTCTCCACCATGTGCATGAGGGTAACACCATGGGCTGGATAACTGACAGAAGGAGCCTGAGTCACTAAATGACTGTGGGGAACAAGCTGCCCTCCTCTCCAAACTGTCTACCAGCCCCTGATTTTCCACAAGAGAGAAATGAAACTTCTTTCTCATTTAAGCCACTATTACACTGGCCTGTTTTAGAGCAGCCAAACTCATATCCCTATATCAAACAAATAGTATTTGTAAAACTGAGAACCAGAACATAGGTATTTCTGACATAACAGCATGCATTACTTTATGCATTAAATACCAGAACCTATTAGGAATATTTGACTGGCTTTATAACAATGTCAGTTCTCAAACCAATAATGAGAAAATCTTTGTAAACTTATGTAGACTCAAGAATCCAGTGATGAAATAATCAAGTAATAAGAATGTAAAGTTTCCCTGCTTTAAAAGACAGAACAGCAAATTCTGAAATTCCAAAGGGATTTTGTTCCATATATGCAACCGATAGCTCTGTATCCTGAGGTAACAGCACCAATAGATGATCTATGACCCCAGGCAGGGCCCACTCTAACCACCAGGCACGACTGCTGGCTACCCAAGCTGCCACTCCCAAAAGAGAGGTACCCCAAGAAATGCCTGTGGCCTTCAGCCTGGGGCTGAGTCATGGCTGCTAAAACCATGAAAAGTGGATGGAGACCTATATCATAGATGAACTGGCAGACATCACATAAAGTATTAGTATTATCATAACTACGAGTGGGACCACTGGACGCACATACCTTATGATATGATGCAGTGGTACCAGCTATGAGGTAGCCTTGCCGGAAAGAAGACCAAACTTGAATCAAACTGAGCCTCTAAATACAACTACAAGTTTAAAGGAAATGGAGGGGATGGAGAACTGCATCATGTAACATTGTGAGGTTACAATCGGCTAAATCTAGAAAGCAGAAAATTCTGCAGGACAAATGACCCACGTTCTTCCACAAATACATTGAATTAAAAAACAAACAAATGGAAAGGGAACAACTTGAGAATCAAAAACTCCAGAAGCACATCAACTAAATGCAATGTGTGGACTTTATTTAGATCATGAGTCAGATATACCAACTGTAAAATGACATTTTTGAGACACCTGGGGAAAAATGAATACAGATTGGGTGTTGGATGATAATAAAGACATATTGCTAATTTTGTTTGGTGTGATACTAATATAGCGGTTATGTCTTTTTTAAAGGCTTATCTGTTAGAGATAACATGTTAAAGTTTTTACAGACGAAATGATAAAATATTTGGTAACTGCTTTTAAAATACTATAGGAAAAAATGTGTGAGGGTGGATATGTAAAGCAAGTATGGTAGAATGTTAATAACTTGAAGCTGGGTGATAGGGATGTGAGATTTGGTACACTATTCCTTCTAGTTCTGTATTTATTAGAAAATATATGAAAAGTTTTTATTAAAAAGAAAGAAAACGTAGTAGAGAATGATGGATAATTTACACATTGGCCCATCATCAATGCCCATCTGTGACAAGGAAACAACAATTCATGCCTCTGAAGGCTGAAATGGAGCTCTCTCTACAGTGAAAAATAGCTATGGTGAAGTGTCCTAATTTGGCAATAAAACCAACTAAGCTTTTTTTTATGAGGATAAGGCACACATCTAACAAAGATGACTTTGTTAGGTCATCTAACAAAGACCTAGATGATTAGATATTTTGATGGGGATTATTATAAAGTGAAATGGAAGGAAAAAAATCTAGGACAATGCCCAGGTGGTGAGTATGGAAGCGGTGGCTTGGAGGAGGGGCCACTGAGCCTCTGAGAGACTCCTCAGCCAAATAGAACTCCAACTCCCTGCCATCCCTGCTGGAAGGTCTTTTGCCAGTGTTGCTGCAGCATCCCCACTCACCTGGCCACCACCTGAGAAATGCTGCCCAGCACCTGTCCTGTCAAGATCAACTTCCTCCAGCTCAACTGCTGGGCACCTGCCCCACCCTGCTGTGAGCTGACACCCACGTGCTGCTCAATACCCACCACCTATCTCCTGGACCGAGCAGGCTCTCCCTGCAGACCTACACCCAGCCCTGCTGTGGAGGCCCCTGTGGGTGCTCCTGTTAGAAACCGGGCCCTTGAAGAGACCCAGTGACAGGCTACCCGATGCCCTGTAGATTGTTTGCACTCCCACACCCGATGCTGCCCAAATCATGGCTTCACGGACAAGGACTTCAGAACGGTCTTCGAACTTCCCCTTCTTTGATCCATCCTGAGTTCTTCCACTCTCTGATGGAGTTTAGATGCCTCTTTTCTATGGGCTATTTGCCTGCTCTCTGAGATATAATAAGTAAGACTTTGAATTAAGAAGCTTCACTTTTATGGCTTAGCAAACAACAAAAGTAATGAGGCTGAGTGGAAATTTGCCAACAACATTTCCCAGCATTCTGAGATTACCCCCACCTTGGTGGAATCCCCATGTTACTTCCTCTCTCTTCTTTTTTTTCCTACAACCTTTCTTCCCCCACCTTGTCATTTTCATTCACCAGAATCAGTCTTCTCTCTGTACTGCCCACATTTATTCCACCCTCTACCCTGCTGGTGCCATGAGAGTGGCACCTCAGATCTCCTGCTGCAGAGGATGTAACTGGCCCATGGCCCTGCTACCGTGCCCTGAAATCTACTGCTGCGTCAGCCCCACACCTGGCACGGCTGCTCCCATCCGATGACTGAGTGGGGCAGGGACGCTGTGCAGGCCTGTTGCTGGGGGATGTGGGACTCTCTGACGACCGATTTTGGCTCGAGGACTTCCCAGGGCCTTGCTCGCCTCTCCCAGAACCACTCTGCAGTCTGAGACCTTCCTTCTCTTAACCTCATGGCAGACCTGCCCTGTCCTCTGATGGCTCTCCCACCCACACTAGACTGACACAATCCTTCTCCTCAGAGAAAAGCTTAGGCTCACGGTTTCAGCAGACTGGTGCTCGCAATCTATTTTGTTATGTCTGTCCGTTCTCTTCCTTGTTCAAGCCTGCATCTCCACCTGCCAACTGGAAATCTGTTTGCTGTCCCACAGCTCCTCGTGGAACCGTGGCTGGTCGCCTCCCACTATCTGTTCTCCATCCTCTCTTGTGGTTCTAGAACCTCAACTTTTACCTGGGCTCGTGGATACCCACAACAAACACTACACAAACCACCTGTTCTTGGAGCTGGGTAAGGCCATGTGACTAAATCTGGCTTATGGGGTGGTAGCGGTAGTGATTCCTATAACTTCTGGGTCACATCCTAAAAGGGAAAAGGTGCATGTTCCTCTTCCTACTGGCTACAGTGTGGCTGTGGTGGTGAAGCCCATCAGCTCAAGAGGAGCAACAGAACTCCCAGAGACAAAGCAACAGAACGGAGGAGTCTAAGCCTCTGACTTTGTGAAACAGAATCCCCTATGAGCTTGGATTTTCACGGGAGAAGGAATTTGCATTTTTTTTCCTTAAGTCCATGTTATTTTAGGTCTCTGTCATAGCTGTTGAACTCATGGCCCTACAGCTTAAGCTACCCCAGGCATAACCTATCACCTTCCACCTGCCCTGGTAAACCAAGTCCTCTGTTCTACTGCCTCTCTCCAGAGCTGCTCCTCCTCCCATCTCCACTGGATACCCAGCTAGCCTTTCCCCTCACTCAAATGTGACTTTACTGTGTTTTAAGTCAGGTTTATTGAGCTATAACTTCCAAACTATAAAATTCAGACTGTTAAAGTGTACAGTTTGGCAAGTTTTGACAAGTGAATACA